GATGCCAATCAAGCCCCAATTTCCTCTGCGCCTTGTGCTTGCCTCAATTAATTAATTGTCCTCAACACCACAACCGCCCACCCATCGCCGCGTGTCACGACGACGACGACAATCGCATAGACACCCACCGCCCACGTTACCATCGGTCGTTCGCACTCTCTCAGCGGTTGCCAATCCACCCCTAAATGCCCTCGGGCCGTTCGCGATGCGCGTCATCAAGCCAACATGGCTGAGCCATAGCGGCGAGCAGAAGGACTTCGAGGTCTACAGCTGTCACGTCTCCGCCGACGGTAAGCGCCTCGCGACTGCGGGCGGTGATGGACATGTGCGCGTCTGGTCGACCGAGGCCATCTACGGCGATGCCATTGAAGGCTCCGAGAAGAAGCCGCGACAGCTCTGCCACATGAGCCACCACCTGGGCACCATTCACTCCGTCCGCTTCTCGCCAAACGGTCGCTACCTTGCTTCCGGCGCCGACGACAAGCTCATCTGCGTCTACCACCTCGACAAGAGCCCACCCGTGGCTTCTTTCGGTAATGCGCCCTCCTCCATTGCGATGCGTCCCGCTGTTTGCAGCTCTAACATTGTCCTCCAGGTCTGGGCTCCGAGCCTCCCCCGGTCGAGAATTGGAAGACATACAAGCGTCTAGTCGGCCACGAGAACGACGTTCAGGACCTCGCCTGGTCTTTCGACTCGTCCATACTGGTCTCAGTCGGTCTTGACTCCAAGATTGTCGTGTGGTCGGGCCACAGCTTCGAGAGGCTCAAGACAATCACCGTCCACTCCAGTCACGTCAAGGGAATCACCTTCGATCCTGCGAACAAGTTCTTCGCGACTGCCTCCGACGACCGAACCATCAAGATCTTCCGATTCACTCCTCCCGCACCGAATGCGACACAACATGACATGGTCAACAACTTCGTGCTCGAGACGACGATCAGCGCACCCTTTAAGAGCTCGCCGTTGACGACGTACTTCCGCAGATGCTCTTGGTCTCCCGACGGCAATCACATTGCGGCGCCAAACGCCGTGAACGGTCCAGTCAGCTCCGTGGCCATAATAGAGCGCACGCGATGGGACAGTGAGATCAACCTCATCGGCCACGAGGGCCCGACCGAAGTCTGCATGTTCTCCCCTCGCCTGTTCCATACGGAAAACCCAGCCGACAATCCTGACAACAACGGCCTTGTTACGGTCATCGCATCAGCTGGTCAGGACAAGACGTTGAGCATATGGAACACCAACACTAGTAGGCCGGTTGTCATCCTCCAGGACGTCGCCGGAAAGTCAATATCGGATCTGGCCTGGTCCCCTGACGGCGGAACAATTTTTGCTTCAAGTCTTGACGGCTCTGTGGTTGGGATCCAGTTTGACCGCGGAGAGCTCGGATGGGTTGCCAATGCGGAGGAGAACGACAAGGCGCTGCAAAAATACGGGGCGTCGAGGAAGGGTATGGGTATTGCGGAAGATATCGAAAATCTCAACCTGGAAAATCAGAGCAAGGCCGGCGAGTCCAGGGCTGCCGAGTCGCGAATGGGTGCTCTCATGGGTGATGGTCCATCGAAAGACGCAGCACCTACGACGAACGGAACAAAGCCTGGCGGTTCGGCGACGGGCACGTCAACACCGAAGCCAACCAACGGCAACGTCGAGGCCGAGAAGGAAAAGGAGAAGCCGGCAGAAGAGCCCGCAGACAAGTCGGCGGAGAGGGTCAAGGAGCTCAAGTCGCGGGTGACTGTTGGCAAGGACGGGAGAAAACGTGTGGCGCCTCTTCTGGTGTCTGCGTCAGGCACCGGTCAATCATCCCTCCCTCAGACACAACTGGTCGGATCTACCTCTTCGAAGGCAGCACAAAACGATGCCCCGCAAACGATCTTGGATCTCGACAGGCCCTTTGAAGGTCTTCCCAAGGGAGGAGTCGCCGCCATGCTCCTGGGTAACAAGCGGAAGGTAGCGGCAATTGAAGGCGAGGAAGAGGAAGAACACGCGTCGAAGCGTCAGGCAACGACGGGTCCCACGGCGGTTGTGCTCAACGGTGTGGATGGAGCTGAGCCAGCTTCCGTCGTGCCAGCATTACATGGAGTTGTACCTACACCCGAGTACCTCCGTCCAGCGGTGCTCAACCCATCAATCGCCTTTGCGCAGATTCGCCTCGCTGTTCCCAAAGTCAGAGCACAGATCGTACGTCCCCTGGAGCGGGGCGTTTTGCTGCCCGAGAGTAGCACCGATGAGGCGTCCAAGGTACCGGAGAACATCATCCTCGAAGCTCGGAACCCAGTTCAGATTAGGGACCCATCTCACATTTCAGCGACGAAGCGTGGCACACTGCTGTGGCAGGATTATCTTCCCAGAGCCGTCATCTTGGTCACTGGCAACAAGACTTTCTGGGCGGCAGCTTGCGAGGACGGAAGTGTCTTCACCTGGACGCCCGCCGGTCGTCGGCTGATGAACCCAATCATCATGGAGTCTCAGCCGGTCATCCTCGACTGTCGCCACAATTACCTCCTGTGCATCAACGCTGTTGGATTATGTCACGTCTGGGATGTGCAGAGGCAAGCAGCCATCCACCCACCAGTGTCTCTCGGCCCGGTCCTCGAGCTTGCTACCACCACGCTGAACCTCAACTCCACGACACCAGGCCCTGGCATCACGTCGGCGCAGTTGAACTCGGCCGGACACATCGTTGTCACCCTTACCAACGGAGATGGCTATTACTATACCCGTGACATGTACTGCTGGCAGAGAGTCAGCGAGGCCTGGTGGGCTGTCGGCTCTCAATATTGGAACAGCAACGACTCCGCTATTAGTGCCCTTCAGTCAACCGCCGTCGGCCCCGTCACCCCCGCCAAGCCGAAGGACGCCGACACCGCAAACGTCTCTGCCGGTATCATCCCGTACCTCGAGCGTCACACTACCAACGAATTTCTGCTCAAGGGCCGCGCATACACCTTGCAGCGGATTGTTAAGATGCTGCTCTCCAAGGATGGCTTCGAAGGCTTTGAGTCGACGGTCAGCATTGCCCATCTCGAGAACCGCATCGCCGCCGCCCTGCAACTTGATGCGAGGGACGAATTCCGTCTGTATCTCTTCATGTACGCCAAGCGCATCGGTGCTGAGGGCGACCGCGGCAAGGTCGAGGAACTCCTCAACAGTCTCATCGGCGGCATTCTCAGGGACAAGGACGAGAAAAAGACGGGGCGGGGTTGGTTCAGCAAGGAGGAGGATATCTGTGGCTGGGACCGGAAAGAGCTGCTGAAGGGCGTCGTCATGATTCTCGGTATGTCTTGTCACTATTGTGCCTTCCAACAACGTTTACTAACACATCATCACAGGAAAATTCCGCGAACTTCAACGACTGACGATCCAGTACGCCCGTCTTCTCGACCTGAACCTCGAGAGCGATGGTATGGACATCGAGTAAGAGGGGACCACGGCAGAAGCACGGAAAACTCATATCCTTCCCGCTGTATTAATGACGAGAACCAATTGTTGTATAGTATACCTGACATGATGAGAGAAAAGGGGTCGCCGAATGGGCGCGGTCGCTGGGAGGAAGGTTTTTGGAGTCGGCGTACGCTTTGTGTAGGATGGGTTCGTTTTGTTGGGGGAAACTGGACGAGGAAGAGAACTGATTGTTTCGTTTCAACTCTCGTCGAGTCCTGGTCGTGAGGATAGTTTGAGCGGAAGCTCCAAATTCACACATTCTTAACCAACTTTGGTGCTGGCAGTGTTTATCGAGATGCGCATGGGCTCTTGCTCATGTGTCGATCGGGGGTGAAGTATGGCTTTTGTGATGTTGAAGTCTAAGTTATATTTGACTTTCACTAATAGTCCTGTGTTCCCGGGCTAAGCCATCTTCTATCTTAACCCCTGAGGCTTCGTACGTCTCGAACCACGACCCCCAAGATCCATAGGTAGTATGATTGTGGTGACCGCTTCACACAACGCAAGTGAGCAGCTTAGCAGTCGTCGCACATGATGAGGCAAGCGGTCATGCATCCAGAGCGCTGCAGAGCGGACTGCCGGTCAGGGCCGCCGTAGTCTGTGAATTTTCAAGGTTAGATCTACGGTCCATGTTTTGAGCTTGACGTCGTGATGGTGAACTCACTGTCGTGGCAGTCAGAGGTGCAGCTGAGACAGGTTCCTTGGAAGGGGGCTCCGGCTTTGCAGCCTGCCATGACGGACGGGACGATGGCCGCGGCGATGAGGAGGATGGTCTTGGAGAAGAGCATGGTGGTGGTATGGTGTAGTTTGGGTTTGATGAGAAGAGTGCGGGTGTAGGAGGTAATTGAGTCTTGGAAGAGTCGATACTGATGGGGGAGGAAAGGTGAATGTCAATTAGAAGATGGAGGTGCTACTTATACTTAGTTCCGCTCGACCGCTTGAGCCTGGCTCATCAATTGAAGGACATGAATCTTGGCTGTGTCTCTTGGCAAATCCTGAACGTCATCCAAAGTCCCTCGAAGGATTGTTCAGTTCACGATGCAGCGCGAGACGAAAGCCCGACATCGCACACTGGTGGAGGCTAACTAGCGACCTGTAAAACTATTTGGGCAATAATCTGCCTCATGAGCAGAGCGAAGTCTTGGCGTTGATGACAACTGATCATAATGATAAGACAACATCGAGCTCAGGCTGTGACTTGATGCGAGCGAGCGAATGAGGAGCGAGGGTGAGTCCGGGTGCCTAAAGAACGAGAAGACATCCCGGGTGTTGGCCCAAGCCCCCTTGTGGGTAAGGTAGATCCACTACTCAGCTCCTTGCGAGCATGCAGGTGACTCTCCACCTGACTTGGGAACGAGATACTCTAATGAGAAAGGAAAAGAACTTTTGGGCGGTTTCATTAACGTAATGATCACAAAGATTGTTTGGTCAGCGAAGGAGTACCTTCCCAGTCACACTACGCAGTGAACTGCTGCTTATAATTCAGAGTCAAAACTTTCTTCTTGTTTAAAGCGATTTAGGGCTTAATCGTGAGGTAAGTCTTATCTGACTAGAAACTACTGCCTATAAAGCACACCTTGATACTTGAAGTAAGACCCTGATATGTCGCTTTCATTGTTGGCCTTGAAAGCATCTGCGTACAGCGGTGGCTTTTCTTCTCTTTTCCTCTTCCTCGTCCGCGTCTCCCACGTGAATGGCAGAGTGCTAACCTTAACACGTGAACCAACCAGGCTAGTAGTCACTAATTCGCGTCGGGACGAACACGCACGTTGTTTGTCTCCTGGCTTCACGGTGTACTGATGTGCTTGCTGATCCCAGGTCCTCCAATCTGCCCCCGAGTCCAGGAGAAGGTCGGCGACGGCTTTATAACCATTTCTGCAGGCCGCCTCGAGTGAAGTTTGCCCCCAATAGCTGCTTCGGGCATCCAGATCTGCTCCATTCTCAATGAGTAATTTTACAATATTTGTGTGGCCGCTTGACGAAGCGGCAAAAATCGGGGGGCCGTTCCGGCTGTGGGCGTTAACATCTTCACCTCGAGAAATCAATTCCCTAACGAGGTTTCGGAGGCCGTGTTTGGAGGCAAAGTACAACGGGCCGCCTTCATGCTGTACACTTTCAGCTGGCCAATACTGCTGATACCATGCGGTATAGCAATATTGATCAAGCAAAAAGTCCGCAGCTGTGGTAATTAGCTCAGTGCATTTCTGCTCGTCTGCCTTCTTGGCATAGTCCATCCAACTGATTGCCGCATGAAACCCTAAATGGAAATTGGGTTCCTCCCCAATACACTGTGGCCTCTTTCCCTTGCCTTTGCCAAAGATCTCTGTTCCTCTGCTAGCTTCGTGAAAGGCAATGCCCCTCAAGTAAGCTAGGCAAGTTCGCGTGAGATTGATGCTGGCTGCGGGCTGTAAACCAACATCTGCATGGCCGAGAAGGAACTCCTGAACGGAGGAGTGAGCGAGCTGGAGTTGAATCGTTCTGTGTCGCCCCTTTCCATATGCCACCGATGTCACAAGGCTGGGGCATATTCGTTGTATTTCCTTAGGCCGTGGCATTCTGTCTGCGATGTCGAAGGATTCCCGCCTAATGGCGACGATGTCTACGGCCTTTTCCAATGTAAGAGGTGTTTTGGAGTACAGTAAGAATTGTAGAAGGCGATTCGCTTTGGGTTTCAGCGTCTGCGAGATGTTGTTGAGAATTCGTTCGTATGTTTCGTTGAGATCTCGGGGCAGTGAGTCAAGCTCGGTCTCTATGCCTTCTCGGTCAAGACAGTTCTCCAGGCTGTCAAGTTGGCATGCTGCCCATCTGAACTTGCAATACTGGTTCAATTATTTGTCCCTTGAAAAGACTGTGGTCGTAGTGGAGATCACCTACATCCCGTCCGCCTTGCTTGCAATCTGATCACACACTAATTTGACGATGCCAGGGGCTGTTGTCCACTTCTCAAATCCAGCATCTCTGCCAAGTCTTTGTTCCACATACGACCGGATGTCCGAGTTGATGGCAGTTCTGCTTAGAGGAACGCAATTCTCCGGCCCCAAAACTATCCCGAGCTCATGTTCAAACTCGTACTCCGGTCGACTAGTAAGCATCATCTTTATATGTCCGAGGTCACTGGTAGATACTAAATCTCTTATCCAACGAATCAATGGGTGTCGTGTGACGCATTCGTCTAATGCATCCACCACTATGACGGCACTCTCCACACTCCTCAGCATGTCGTGAAAACAACTCGAGAGCTTTTCGAAAGCAGGTTGTCTATAATCGTCCGAACACTCAGAGAACAAGGCGTCGAGGCCAGAAACAGTCCCACCGGTGGATAAATGAAGTTGATAGAGTAGTCCTCGAAGCATGGCATCTAGCGTTTGTTTCTTGGAATCTCGAAAATCAAAATAGAACTGTAGGAGGCATTGGACATTCTCCTTCTTGAGGCGATCGAATATCGTAGTACTGAGAACGGTTTTGCCGCATCCAGATAATCCATACAGCCAAATGTTTCGGCGAGAACCGCTACGCCATAGCTGGAAGGAAGGCTCGTCAAAAATCCACGAGCCGGTACCTTTCCGTCGTACAGTCCTGGCGCTGTCTGCGTTTATGGAGGAATTTGGGGGGGACAACCACCTCCGCAGATCGTTGTGCCGCTGAGAAGTTATGAGTTCGCTGGCAATACGGCTCGTTTCTTGTATAGATTTCTGCTGCCAGATTTGCGAGGTTTCAACTATTGGGGGGTCAGTGTAGCCCATCGAGATGTGCCCAGGGGTTCTTGAACTAACGAGATTTGATGGCCATTGCAAGTTTGTCTTCCCTGTTGACAACCGCAGCTGAGACTTCCTCCAAAAGATCCCTTGTGTAAGCCGCTGCCGTCATCGCTGCAAAGCCTTGCCATTCCTTATTCTTGTGGGTATCTGAATAGTCGCAGATCCCCCGAATAACTAGACAGGGAAAATGATTCATCAAACCGGCTACCTCCATCTCAAAACAGAGTGCGCCTGTCTGTTTCGATAGCTGGTCCCTTATGTTGGCATCCTTCATCAGCCTGTTTCCGGACGCGATGAGGCCATAATGGACCGCAGGGTTGTCATCCTCAACGCCTCTCTCAGCTCGCCTCACCAGTTGAGATTGATCTCCTCCACAGGCCACACTGCAGTCGTTTGAGAAGTCTGTTTGAGGATGCGTGATGTGCGGCGGATAGAGTCTGTCGGAGGTGACGGGCGGTCGGCGATGGCTCCTCTTCAAACGAGGATACTTCTCCAGGACCCTTTCGATCTTGCCGTTGATGTCGTGACCCTCCATTATGCCGAGCTTCAAGGCTGCTGACTGCCGTCAGTAATGACTGCGGAGGCTGGTTCAAACTTCCCGTGATCGAAAATTCCCGGTCTTGTATCGCCTTGCCATAGTCGTACTGCACCACGCCTCCTTTACCTGCGTTTATGTCGCGAGTCCCTATGATAATATCACCAAGACGAATGTCGTGCGTTTTGCTCGGAGCACCACCCCCTATCCCAACCATGAGTCCAACCTTGAGATTCGGGAAACTGTGTATCATGTCTCTCGCGACGGTAGCTGCGGCTGTGGTGCCATATTCCGACTTGGGCAGAGCTGCAATAGCCACATTGTGCCTTCCCATACGACCAAGCGAATAGCTATTGTTATCATGCTGCGAGATTGACAGTGGGGCGTCATGCTGTTCATCCAAGAATGCTTTCGCAGCGACAAACTCTGTCGTGATGGCGCAGATCCAACCAATGGTGTAAATACCTGGGTCAGACATTGCGCCTCAATCTCTGGAAAGTCTGGCCAGGGTATTAATAGGAAGAAAGGGTTCGCGATGGTCTGTTTCCGGTTTTTGGCGACAGATAAGCATGAGAAAACTTCCCAAGGGAGAGACGGAAAGGTCAGAGCCTTGCCTGATGATTACGCAGCGAGAGGTGGTCCGTCTGCAGCCATTGGATCTACCGAACCACGTGAGTACGACTAGGGAGTAAATGACACAGCGGCTCTTTCAGGAGGAATGGGATCCAGCCTGATGACCGTATGCGCCCGATTTGAGCGGGGCTACCTGACTTTCTTCTTGCACGCGACGTGTCACTCCAATCACTATTAATTATTCCTCACACAGCTATGATGGGAATCTCGTACCTTCGAGCGGAAATGGAGCCAACCTTCGATCGGAAGCAGTCTCGATTGTGAGGCCTATGGGCCTGTGGCCACTTTTCAGCCACAGTAATCTTTCCATTGACATGGATAGTTGCATGTAGGTACCCAACGATCAAACCTTCGCGAACACAAGAACTCCAAGCCACCAGGAGACTTCCTACATGTAAAGCCCAGCCACTGTGTCTTAGCTGCGCTACTCCAAATCCACACATTTCCCCCACACTTTACCTCCTCTTCACAAGCTCAGTTGCCGTCTAATCTTTCACCACGATGCTCTATCGGATGGCATTCTTGCGGCTTTTGCTGAACAAAATACTCCTTCCACGTTTCCCGGCGTCTTTGCAATGCCTGAACATCGCCAAAAACGTCAACTTCGCTCTACGAAGACCTGTACGCCAATCCTTTTTCCACTTCGGGCGGTGCCTAGGGGTATGATCTTTGCAACCTAGATGTCGCTGATAGGTTATCGCAGGTGACTATTGCCATAGACGCAGGATCAAGTGCCGAAGCAGCGAAGCAGCCCTGAGCCAATGCCAGAACTGCGTTGGGTTTGGAATTGAATGCCAATTGTCCCGCCCATCGAAAAGGGGCAAAGCAGGCGGATCGGAGCGCATTGGGCGGACGGTAAATGAACCGAAATCCACTACAGATCCCGAGCATGCAGAGAACAAGCTCCAGCATAGCGGCGACTGTTGTCCCCTCAGATCGGGGGCTTCGGAGTGATGGTCCTCCAGAGCCCGTGTCTCACGACTCCGTCGTTGAGCCATCAAGCGACAGAACAGAGCTCGGAGACGGAAATCTCCCCACAGGCACGCTAGCTCCAGCCTGGTGCGCATTTGCATGGAAAACATGTCAGGACTGATGTTGTGATAGTATTGGTCCATTTACACGCTTGAAGTATTCACGTCAATCGTCTGGGATGGCTGTATTCATTTTCAGGAGGCTCACTCAATGGTCGAGTATCCTGAAGGTGATCAGTCCGGATTTTTACCAGCAGGCAATCCCAATTGGATCGAAGGGTGGAATTTTACTACAGATCTCTATCGCATATTGGAGCACGTACTCTGCAAACTGAGAACGCGGCACTCTCGCTTCAACCTATTCGGAGATTGCCACTCACGCTTGGAGACGCACCGATTACAAGACCGAGTAAACGGTTTGCATTTCGGTCTACATCATCGCTTCAAAGAATTCGGTTTGGCGACCGGTGTTGCCGAAAAGGACATATACGGCTTTCAGGCAGCAAATATCCAGGCAACGCTTGCACTTCTGCGCATGGCATTGCTGTCTCTGGAAGGTGATGTCGATCTGGATAAGAAATGCTCTGTTGTCAACGAGGTGTTGACAGCGTTCCACCAAGTTCCGAAGGCCTTCCAGCGCGCTATTAGTAATCCTCTCATATACCACATCGGTTCAATCGGAATCATTCTTGGTTCCGTCATGGAAGGCATGAGCCCCTTCCTAAAAGGATCTTCACAAACTCACTAGGTGAAGATTTTGTACTTTCTTCAGCGACGGCCTTAATCTTAAGGTAGTCTCTTTCGACGTCGGGCCGAATCCTCCACGAGCATGTTCGATGACTACGCGAGCGTCGTCAAATCTGCCAGCCGATGCCAGGTATCGAGGAGTGTCAGGGAACATCTTGATTCCCAGGAAGAGTAGCAAGGTGGGGAAGCATTGGAAGGCCAGAAGAAACCGCCATCGGACGTCGGACTTCCCTCCATCAACGAAGGCAAGGCCAAATGACAATCAATACGCGACAGAAATGCCGAGATAATTGGCAATGAAAACGTGACCGAGGAAGTCCCCTCGATGTTCCGCTGTCGATGTCTCCGCGACCATCACAGTGCTTTCGATAACAAGCGGTGAGTGAGTAACCGTATTCATCAATCGTAGGCGGCCGGTTTGAATTTGGTATGGTAGCCTTATCTTTTGGTATCGGCTACGTTTCATTCGTCGAATGGTGTTGCTCTGCGTATGAACTTGGACAGCGGGGTAGTCAGGCAGACTTCAAGGCAAGGCAGACTAGCAACGCCACATATATCTACTGCTGCCTCGGATACTGGACTTTCTAATTGCAATCGTATTCTTATCTCGGAGAACTTCTTCTTGGGTGCAGACCGTAATACGAATGGAGGAAATGGACACAGACGCTCTTCAAGAGCAATTCCGTGCTCATTGGGAAAGCAGCACCGCAGACGAAGATGTCACACTGTATGGGTTCAGCCGCTTCAGAACGATTCACTTGCTGAACCTTCGGTTTCTCGAAGGTGAGATATCTGAACTCAATCGTCTAGTTTACCAGGCAGGAAAAAGTCTGTCCAAAGTTCCGCCCTCACGTGCACGACTTGGTATAGATTCTAGATGGAGCGACGCGTCACCAGAACCATCCAAGATCATAAATCAAGAACTGGTCACTAAGGTTCGCGACTTGCTGAGGCAATACGGTAAGTGCGACTTTGCAGTCACCCTACGAGGCACTGTCCTCGTTTTCAGGAGCTCATGAAAATACAGATGAGGCACTTGTTGCATTTCACAACATCATGGGTATGGAAACATCATATTTGATCGATGACGAGCAACGCGCAAGTCTAAGAAAGGATCGAACGGCCGACGAAATGTACCACACCCGCCTTCTCAGAGTAGACCTAGGGCAGCGCCTGCGGAAAGACCCCATGGAACGTTTCGTGCGGCGGTGCTTATATCACTTACGGTACCGACAACTCTCCAGATGGTGGGCAACGGATATCGAAAGCGGCGAGAACACTCGCATGTCTGGCAAGAAAGCCTGCCAAAATACCGTCCTGGTCGCCGAGGTGATTTCTCGATTCTTCATGACCGGGTTGGTCGGAATCTTCGTGGTGATCCCCTTGGCGATACTTTCATACCAAAACAGTAAAGAAGTGCAGCTGGGAGTCATATCAGCATGTGTTGTGACATTCTCATGTCTGGTGTCTGCGTTTCTAAAAGTCAGCAGCGTGGAGATGATGATGGTGACAACTGCTTATGGCGCAATTCTCACTGTTTTCATGTCAAATGTATGAAAGATATCTCGTTCAATCCGTAAAGGTCATAGAGAAACATCATAAGCTTTAGGTAGTAACCAACCGTGTATATTAGTTAACAAACAGACTTAATTGCGCCTTTGAATGGACTTTATCTGCGAATTGAACTCAATTTAACATTCCCATCGCCCGGACTCCTAGCTGTGGCATCTCGCTAACTATGCACGTCGTGTGTATTTGGACGCAGGGAAAAATCTGAGGTGAGGTTCACTGGTCCTTGGCGGGCTTTGACATGTCGATTCCCAACAACGCGCCTCCAATTTGGAAGCCAAATTTGTCCGGCCCGAACTTCCACTTCTTGTCGGCACCGCCTCCGGAGCCGCCACTCTGGGCTTGGGAGGACGATGGCTGTGTTTCTGCGCGATAATCCTCGCCTGAGATGACTTTCATTCCTCGCGGCCTGAAGAATGTTTCGTTCCATCGAGCGAGCTCCCCGCGCATGCGGCTGATTTGCTCCTCGTATTCAGGGCCTTGCACACCCGACAATGGCTGCCCTTTCGAATCCGCTGGAAGGGTTGCGTCGCCGGCGGCACCAGAACGCCCGGGTTTGACGAGGTTGGAAGTAAAGGCGGCCCAGTCTTCATGTTGGATGTCGCGGCTTAGCCAAAATGCCGAGGGCTCAGGGTAAGCGAAGGTAAAGGGTGCCGATCCTGGGACAAGATTGATAAAATGTGCCGTTACTTCCGGAGGCAATGGAAAAGGTGGGGATTGATTGATCGGTTACGTAGCAGTCTCTGCAATGTAGGGAGGGGTGGGAACGTCCTCACTGGCCATGATATTTTGAGGTAGGGCTTTCTGCGGACGGGGATGAAAGTTGGGAGTTTGAGGTGATTGCTTCTCGAGAGAATTGAGAGGAACGACCGGCTTGGCGGCCAAATAAGTAGTCTTCTGGGCTGAAAGTCCAGACTCAAGGATGGTACCATTCATACTTTACAAAGTTGTGAATGAACACTCGCTTCAGCGACCTTGCACCGTTTTGAAATAGACCGCAAGGAATTCAACATTCCGCTTGGCACAATTGGCTCGAGAAGACTAGTCTGTGGGAAGATAGCCATAAGATGATCTATTTCACCCCAAGTCATTGGGTAGTCTGCGGACTAAGTCTATGTGTATCGGCTGTTTGAGAAACCTTGGGACAGACGGCAGCAAAGTTCCCCTAAGATGGTCCCATCATGACTGCTACAGCGAATCCATCTAAGAGAACCGAATGACAACTTTGTTCTCCAAGTGATCACTATACCGACGGTAGTACTCCCGGGCCTCCTCAATACCAATTTCAGCGGTGACGACGAAGCTGGGCTTGGCAACCCCGGACGCGATCAAGTCGAGCAAAGGCGGTGCTTGAATCAATGGCAGAACGATACCGCTTCCGACGGACAAGCCCTTCCTCCACAGTGAGGCGACCGGTACGGCGATATCCGCAGGCAACGTCCCTGCGTAAGGCGCCCCTTCCGTGCTGTTTGCCCCGCCGTTATAGACGCCGCCAATTCCCATTCCTCCATAGGCGGCGGTGACTGCGACCATGTTTTCTAGCACAATCCCATTGTGGGGTGCCCCGGTAGCATTGACAGATTCAAATCCTACACAGTCAACGCTGCGAGTGACGCCATCAGGTTCTTGTCGAAGGATAGCCTCAACAGGATCCTCATGAGAGAAATCGATGGGAATGGCACCGATAGACTGGGCTTGCTCAAGTCGGCTAGCGATGCGATCAACAACATACACTCTGGAAGCACCGCGCAGCTTGGCAGAGTAAGCAGACAAGAGGCCAACGGGGCCGGCGCCAAAGATCGCAACTGTATCTCCAGCTTGGAATCCCGAGTATGTAAGTGCATGCCATCCGGTTGTGAACACATCCGCTATCATGAGATAGTCGAGCTCGGCGGTGGTGTTGGTGGAGTTGATCGGAATGGGAATGACTGACTGGTCGGCAAAAGGGACTCTCGCGTATTCAGCTTTTCAGAAGGCAAGTGTGGTCAGCTTTGGCAGTTCATTTGAAAAGATGACATTTCTGGCATTTTAAAAGCAATAACACTATGCGGATGCAAACTTACCTTGCAGGCCGCCGTAGTTTGGGTTACCAACGCCGAAAGACAGAGGATGAGAAGGGCCCCAGTGGCCATCGTCAGCGTTATCTGGGATAATAACATAGTCGCCAACGGAGAGGGATGTCACAGAATCTCCAATGCTCGAGATGTAGCCCACGGCTTCGTGCCCAAACCCATAGGGAACTTCGGGAGAGCCACCAAATCCGTGATACATGTGGAGATCGGACCCGCAGATGGCGGAAGAGGTGATCCGGACCACAACATCTGTTTGGTTGACAATAGCGGGTACGGGTAGGTTGATGACAGAGACATTGTAAGGCTGGCCGAACCAAGCGACGCCTCTCATCATGGTTGTATTCGTTACATTGAGCGCCATGGTCGTTACAGCAAGTCGTTGTTCTCAGGGGTTCACGGTGACAGACGTAGGCGTGACTGACTCGACAAGTTGAGAGGATGTTGATGTCTATGTTGCTTTGAATGGTGAGGATCGAGTAGCATACATAAGCCACTTTTATACGTCTATATCGCCAGGAGATGATTGCTTTAGTATGCAATAATGTATATGACAAGATACCGGATTTCCATAATGATAGCAGCTTTTGTGCGCGGCATGCTGGCTACTACAAGCGCCGCGTGTGCATGATCACCGGCCGATGCTCTAGTGTCTTCATGGGCACACCTTTCTACAGTCATCACGGCCTATTCTGAGGCTGATTGCGGTACGAAATCTTGCCCGTACCGTAGAAGAGGAGAAGTCCATGCCAGCTGCTGACGCGGGGTTAAGCATATCTCCTTAGGATGTGGAGTGATAAGTTACATGCACTTACTGACATCTTCTTAGCTCGAAAAAGCGAAGAGAAAGACTGGGGTTTGACCCACTATTGATAACCATCGTCTGGCGAATACTTACGCGTCCGAGGCAGTGCAAACGTCAACATAGAGGTCTTGTTATACGTTGTCGTTGTTTTCTTGATAATTACAGTCGACAGGTTCAAAATATGAGTTTCGACCGGTTCCGTGAGGAACTACATGCGCATAAACCCGAATCTCCGGTGTGACCATCAGCACTCGCCCTATCATCTACTGAGCGCTGCAAAAACAACGGATAGTTGCATTGGACGATGAGCAATTTTGAATCTGGGTCTAAGTACCTCATGTGATGAGTTTGGATCATCTTGGCCGGAGTCGCCTCTGTCTTAGGCACCTAACTCAGAAATGGGAGACCCAATCGTGTTCGATAACTGCCAGACACGCGCTTTGTTTCCAAGGCCTTCAACTTGACATGCAGGTTTTTATTAAGGCTAGGTTGTTGCACGGCGCGTAGAGGTAAGTTCTTCGATGCCAATTATGCCAACCTGTTGGTCCTATGGTCAGCATGCAAACTGTAGTCTAGTAAATAGCATATCGCCACATATAGGAACATACAGAACACGCAATCTGAAATTTTGTAGCATTCGCGAGAGGATTAACATTCTGTAGTGCCTTGTGAACTAACAAGTTATTTTGGACATTACCAGCCTTAAGCTCACGATACATCGTTGAAAACGCGAGTTCATAAGTACGTAGCTCGTGGAGGCCACTTGGGTTGATGATTGTACTAGCGGAGCTCTTCACACCTTGAGAGGGGCTGTAAGGGTTCAGTAATCAGTGAAAGCGCATGGTTTTGGAATAACGAAAGACATCCTATGAAAGCTAACCACGGCCAGTCGCCGGAGAAAACGCTCCTCAAACCAAGCATAAGGCAAGCTAAACCCTTTCAATGTCAAAATAAAAAGATGTTCCCCCGACGTGCTGTCTCACGGGATGACGTATTGCTGACCAGAGCCCGGTATTGAGGCTACTCTGCGACCGGGGTATATGCGCTATTGGCTGGGCTAATGATGCAACTTTGCCAAGAGCCGCCTTAATAGGGCTGCAAAATCGGCGCGCAGGATCTAGCTTAGCCCAGCAGCCGCAACCTAGGTAACATTGACAGCCGATGTTCACCCAAGAATGTTCCATTTTGCCTTGGAGAAAACGAGCGACTCTGACGCTCTGAAGCCGACGTCAAACGTCTTACATGTGACCCATGTTGGTGCTGCAACGCACGACCAGTTCTTGTGCCCCTGTCTGCCCTGTAAATGAAGCGAATCCCGACCCGCCCCCTGCGAACGTGGCTTCGAACAATGACATCAATATGTCGAACAGGATTTGCGCTCCTGGGCGCTGAGGCGTCATCTTCCCGACGGATGAACTGCTCCATAATGTTAGAAGGATCTGCGCTAGTGACCAATCATTCTTCGAGACAGAGGTCACGTCGATCGTAGCGCAGCCACATCAGGGAGCTTGAGGTGCTGTCGCGTACGCGTTAATTACCCCTTGCCTGCGAGATCAAGCGAGATCCACATGCGCCTGCGGGTTGACTTCACTTGAACAACACCAGAACTTATTAGAGTCGTGGTTCTCCTTTGTGAACAGCCCCTCAGTCACACAGTGTCGAGAAGAACAAGACGAAAATGACGAATCTACCGACAATAACACTCGACACCACGCTCGCCGACCTCTACCGGCGAGCGAGCCCAAAGAATGCGAACAAAAAGATAGCGCAAGTTCTCTGCGGAATCAACTCCGCCTCCGAGCTTAGCGCCAACGTTCCCCGGAACGCGAAATATTTGTACCAGGACAGCCCTTTCAACTCAATCCCAAAAGAGGGATCCGCCAACGGTCACGCAGGGGACAAGAAGCAGCAGCAAGAGCTAGCCGTCAAATACCTATCTTTGATCCCGCAGCGTGACGCATTCATCAGCGGCGACACGGCTGTTGTCCTCTTCAACATCGATGAGACGGAGAAGCAAAAGGCCCATGACAAGGATGAGGCCCACAAAACCATCTCAGTTCTCGCCAAGACCCAACAACCAGATCTCATTTTCTGCCCGGGTCCATCAAAGATTCCCATCAAGGACGCTGGTATTGACCTGATTGCATACAAGTTGGTTCTGGATGGCTTGGAAGACTATGACCTGATTGTCCCGCCCGAGACGCACTGGTTTCTTAACTCAAAAGCTGCCCTGGCCGAGTCTGGGCTGCCGACGCCGAAGTCGAAGATTGTGGAGCTTGATGGACTCGCAGGAGAGGCGCGACTCTGCTGCACGCTGTGCAAAGGCGACACGGCTGAGTTCGTCATTCCTCAAGCCTGCTCAGGTGGGCGAGGCGAATGGTTTGAGAAGCAGAGCGAAAAGATCTTTGCCGACCTCAAGGCGCATCCCCTTCCGTTCGTGCTCAAGAACCAACAAACGTTTGGAGGGGCGGGCACCTACATCATCAACACCGAGGAAGACCGAGAAAAGGTCGTGCAGGATTTTAGGGACGGCATCCTTCGAAAGCTCCTGTCTTCAGTCACAGATTCCAACGTCCACCTACGCCCTGCAGCGCTTGTACTCTCGGACCTGGTTGAGAATCCCATTGGAGATTACGGTCTGACGTTTTTCGTCACTGATGATGGGAGCGACCCCATCTTCCTCGCGGCTTCGGAGCAAATGATTGATGACGACAAGGCGTGGATTGGAAGCACGATCAACTACTCACGACAGGACGAGTTGAAGAGGAAGTTTGGCGCTTTGGTCAAGAAGATCGCCGTTTGGCTCAGGAGCCATGGGTACGTTGGACCTGCTGGGGCTGACGTTCTTGAAACGGCACCAACGACAAACGGACAAAAGCCAAACGGCCACACAGCAAATGGAAGACAGGAAGAAGACTTCTCCCATTTCCACGTTGTTGATCTCAACATTAGGACATCCGGGTCTCTGTGCCTCCCTCTCCTTCAAGGTCACTTTACCAGCCGTGGCTTCTGGAGTGGCTCCTCATTTTCCATCAGTTTGAAGAAGACACGGGCGGAGTTTATCAGTGAGTTCAGGGAGAAGTTTGTGAGTGGACAGATGTGCATCATCAGTTGGTACGAGGACCCAGACACCGGCGTTAGCTTGGCCGACGTAGCGGTGGGTGCTGAGGATCAAAAGCGTCTGAGGAGGGCGATGAAGAGTGTAAGAGATGCAACGGATGAAGTGACATTCTAACAGCATCATTAATTAGATCATAAACATGAAATTTAGACGGTGTTGAGCTTAATCGGAACATTTCTGTAGAGCGTGGATTTCCTGCCGCATAACGCACGCATATAAGCCTACGTACCCGGCCGAAAAGGTGCGCCTCCTCCAGCCGGCAAACTGCGAAGGAAAAAGTCAGAAGGGAATAAGTTAATAGCTTGAGCTTTCTCGTTTCTTCTTCTCTACCAACGTGTATTGCTCGGCTTTCTTTCTTGATCATCCATTAATACCACACGGTTCAGTTTGCTCCAACTTCTCAAAGAACACAAACCATGTCCGCCAAACCCACGCAGAATGCTCGACCTTTCGATGCGGTCATCTTTGACCTAGACGGTACTCTATTCGATCATACTCATTCCTCGATACAGGCTATGGCAAAACTGCAAAGTATGTGGCCCGAATTAAAACAATTTCCCATCGGAACGCTCAACCTCGCATACCAACGTGCACTTAATCGCGCCTACGATGATTATCTCGCAAACAAAATTACCTACGAAGCGAAAGATATCGAGAAGGTCCGAAATTTCTTCACCACTCTTCGTCTTCCCACTCCATCACAGGCTGAGATGGAAAGGTTTCGCGACAGATATAAGACAATATACCGCGCCGCATACAGTACAACCACCCACAGCCTGGAGACCCTGCAACGGTTGAGAATTATGGGAATAACGGTCGTCATCCTCACAAATGGACAACAGAAACATCAAGAGGAAAAGGCGGCTGCTCTTGGCATACTTCCTCTCGTCGACTGTCTGATTAGCTCAGAGGTGATAGGATACAGTAAGCCGGATAGTCGGGCATTTCAATTTGTCATCGACATGCTGGGCTATCCGACTGACCGAATTCTTATGGTCGGCGACTCGGCCAGGGCAGACATCATGGGGGCTTTGGGAGTGGGATTGAGCGCATTGTGGTACGCCCCTGAGTCAGACGATGACTCAGACTTCAATGATGAACTGAAGCCTGAGAGTCGCCGCGTAATCCGAAGTATCAATGAAGTTTTATACTTTGTCACACCTCGAGTCAAATACGATGGGAACGAGCGTTTACACTAAACAGCTGCGGACTAAAATCTCAGAACAATGTCTCTAGGATGTCTGGGTTAGTGGTCTTTTAGATTTGTAACCGAGAGTCTCATCAGATCGGCTAACTGGACCTATGCCACACTTGAGATCTATCTAAACAAATGCACAAGCACGTCTGATATCTTGCTACACTACTGAGGTGGATTGGGCAATAATCTTTGCAGCGGCAACCTCCGCAATGCCATAAGCAGCCGTCTGAATGTGACCAGAGAGAATGATAGGAATGATGCTGTTGTCCACCACGCGCAAGTTTGTAGTTCCATAGACCTTGAGATCGGCATCCACAACACCACCGTCATCTCGAGGCAGAAGAGAGCAAGTGCCGACAGGATGGTAAAAGCTGTTGACCGTGTTGACTGCAAACTCGCTAAACTGCTCATCGGTTTGGACATCTGGGCCTGGCTCTGTCTCGGCCTCCCACATCGCAGAGATAGGGCCCGTCTCGGCGATCTTGCGAGCAAACTTAGCACCCTCCGCCGCAGCCTTGATGTCGTGTTCGTTGTTGAGGTACTTGGGGTCGATGATCGGCTTGCCTGTCGGGTTGGTCGGGTCAATGTGCACATTTCCGCGGCTGAGGGCGTGCATGACGGTGCTGAAAATCGTGATGAACTTGCCGGAGCCAGGGTACCCAGCCGCACCGACGTGGTTGGCCTCGAAGATGAGCTCGTAGTCCGGAACAGCGTCGTTCTTGAGGAACTCGAGCTTCTTCTTGTCGATGGGACTAGTGCTGGCGCCCACGGCAGTCTCGGCAAGAGCAATGATGTCGGCCTGGGCTTGGCTGTCGACTTGGCCCCAGTTCAAGAACCCGTAGGCAGCTGAGGTGTAGTCGTAAAGAGACACCTCTCCATCGATCCACTTTTGGAGCTCAGCGGTGGCGTTCTCTCCGTTGGCGTCAAAAATGAGGTTGTCGAATGAGTCGATGCCATCCTTGAGGCGGTACACGTTGGAAGTACGGATGTGGTCTTGGTAGTTCTCGCCGACTCCAGGAAGGTCGACCAGAGGCGCTACCCCAGCAGCCTCAAGCACCGCAGTTTGACCGATGCCAGAAAGCTCGAGCAGGCCAGGGCTCTGTACCGAGCCGGCAGAGAGAATGACCTCCTTGGTAGCATTGATAACACTACCGTCAGCGAGTGTGACCCCCGTGGCGACGTACTCAGTTTCGTAGACCTTCTCAAGATTAACCTTGACAACCTGAGCACTCGTCTGAACAACGAGGTTAGAACCGGCGAGAGGCAAGTAGCTGTTGGCGCTGTAAGAGCGGCTGTAGTCGACATTGTTGATGTTGGTGCCCTGGAACATGATTCCAATGGGGTTGCCGTGCATGTTGCCCTCCGCGTTTATAGGAAGACCAAGCTCGCTGCCGGCCGGTTGCCATGTGTTAAGCACATCGTAGATGACGCGGTTGTACGTGTTGCGGATAGGACCAATGCGACCACGAGTATCCTTGTCCGAGCCGGTGAAGTTCTCTGACTTCGTCATGGCATCGATCATGACGTCCCAAGTCCAGCCTTCGCTACCCATCTCAGCCCATGATTCGTATTCCGGGGACGAAGCACGGTCGTAGCAAAGGTAGTTCATGGCCGATGAGCCACCCAAGACCTTGCCGCGGTTGACAAAGATCTGGCGACCACCAAGACCGCTCTGGTCAACAGTGGTGAAGTTCCAGTCAAAGTTCGTTCCCAGGATTGAGCCTCTTAGACCCGGGACGTTGATGCGGAGCTCATCAAGGGCAGACGGGCCGGCTTCAAGAAGCAAGATCTGGGCATCCGGCAGGCCTAGACTCAGGCGTGTTGCCAGGGCCGAACCAGCCGTACCTCCTCCTACAATGACCTGTGTGGAGGGTCAGCTACATCATTGAGGCAAGAGAGGTCGGTAGATGGACGTACATAGTCGTAAGTCTTGTCCTGGGCCGAAGTGACACCAAACAGCAGAACAGCTGCTGGCCAAGCCTTGTAAAACATCATCTTGGGCAAAGTGAAAAGAGTGACGGCCGTTGATGATTGAGGTTGACGCAAAATTGTGGCTTGTGGTCTGGATGGTCTGCTTATTGGATGGGAGGGCAGCTTGTTTTTGTACATGCCGATGATGGCTCATACTTCACGTGGTGAAGAGCCATCAGGCTGGGTATCTCGGTCGACTAAACCGCTTACGGGAGGAGATTCTGCAATCGAAGTCGTTTTTCTCATTACGAATGCTTTATTCATGCGCTCCTATGTCGGATTGGGGGCTTTGAAGACGTTTACCCCGGGAACCATCCGGGCGTCCCCATTGGGCAGAGAATACCTAGTAGATGTCAATAATATGGGTATTGTAAGCTCATTGCTCACCAGGTACGACTTCGACTGCGGTGCTATGCGGAGACTTTGGAGAAAAGCATGCTGTCAGGGACGCGACCTTGGTTATTGCTCCAGGCCCAATAGCTGACACATGCTGCAAGCAAAAGCACCTGGTTTATGAGCGGCGCTAATCCTCCCCTGGCAGACAGAGACAGGACTTGGCGTTGAGACCTACGAATAGACAAGGTTAAGCGACATTACATCGGAGATATCTTCCTGCGCTGTCATGCCACAAAGACTGCGGACATGTACGGGGGCAGCAAGTCTTAATAACCTGACTTCTTCAAGACTACTAGGATGATTTCATCAGACACCATTATGGTTGCTTAAGTGAGGAAGTTCCTATCAATACAGACGTTCAAGTCGAAGTGGGCGCACGCTCTATCGTGTGTTGCGATCGCTGACCGCATGTGCCGACACATCCATCAATGTGGCACTGACCGGCAAGAGTCTTCCGGATAGAGAATCCAGCAAGACTTCTCCTCAAAATATGGTGGATTAAAGAGATGGTGCCTGTGGCAAAGAGCTACTTGCATCAGTGCGCGAAATGCGGCTGTCAAGGGTCAGACCCCATGGATCTACCCGCACTCCGTTCTCCAATAACTTCCAGCAGACCCGTCAACGTTGCCCGAGGCGGAGCAGAGGCTGGACTGACACCAACAGACGAATACATCCCCGATCTCCAGGTCAGTGCGGACATGGTAACGCTCACGAACATCGAGGGCAACCCCACCACGTCAAACGTCTCCTTCGGCTAGAGGGCGATGCTTCGTATTTCAGGGAGATCCCTGTCAGCGGGTTGCAAAGAGGGGCGGCGGAGGGCATCCCTGGGGTTAGCGCCAACGGTGACCTTTGCAGGCGGGTCCCGGTGAGAGGAGACAGTTGGATTAAGAATAAGACTAAGCCCTGTCTGTATGGGGCGAAAAAGAAGGGTCAGTCTGGGGATAACAGACTTCACAAAGACTCTCCGTCGGTGTCGTAACGAATGCTCTTGTGATCGGAGTTGTGCGTATTGAAAAAGTAGGTGGCTTGCGAAGGATTCTGCACTATGAGACTCCCCTATCTTCCTCCTATTCCACAGGAAACACACCATAAAATCTCTGGCATGATCGAGCTGTGGCGTTGCACCGTGGGATGTTGTTGGAACGCGTATTCACTCCTCTCTGATCTTCCATTGGCCCAAGACCCTTACTCTGCATTTTACCCCGGGCCCAATCCCCCGCTCCACCCCGGCAGACCCCATAGAATGCATTCCTTCATCGAATCGAAAGATGACTCGGGATTTGGAGAAATTCGTTCCAACAAGTTTATCTGCAGCGCAGTATCATTAGCGACAGCGAGTATGTAATCCCGCCAGGGTTGTTCCCTCTTTCGTCCTCTTCAAGACACTTGGCCCGGTCTCAGTCGCAACAGACACTGCTAGGCTAAATCCTGACTTCTACCGACAACACGCTACTGCATGTGTGAGGCACATCTCGCGGAACAGGGTTTGTTGAAGCAGGTTGCTGGTTTAGCCAGGGTCGAGGTGCGCCTGGGTTGTGTCTATGATCAGATTCTTCTTTCCTCGGCCATCACAGATAGGCAAGTAGGCAATCTGGCAGTGGCAGGGACCATGCGTCTATCGCCAGGATTCAATGGTCTTCCAGGGTAAAGGGGAGTTAGGCAAGGTTCGTCCCTCGTTGGAACCCACCAAGTCGCATCTAGACTATCACATACTTCAACCCCGCGAAGCTCTACGCAGAAAGGGGCCCGAGCAAACGTACCGTACAAACGAAGACTGGCTTTATGAACATCGTCCGTGCGCTGTCGTATTGGTTGAAATAACGTAATTGCAACCATGGATGGATGGACGGAACGGCCGAAAGAAGAAATTGAATCGGCCGAGCTTTGAATGATGAGTTTGTCTCGTATGTGTGAAAGAATCAGAAGGATAGGGGGGCTCGATGGCATCGCCCCATGAAATAGGAATTTGTTTCTTTGACGTAGAAGAATGTTCGGAAAGGGGCCCGATCGAAGGCCGCATGAAGAGCAGACGTGGAACTCAGTCTCGATGTCGGACATGAGAGCTGCGGCGATGCAGGACATAATCGCATGTCTAATTAAACAAAGCCACTTTCCCTGAAGAACCGTTAAGATTCGGGAAGCTCGGGACATGAGAGGCACAGCAGGGTTGAGGCTCCTGAGCACAAATCTTGTTTTCCACTGTATGTGACTGCAGCCAGGAACGGGCAGTCACCCAGAACCCAGACTCAAATGAGACGAACCCTCGCCATAGAGATGCAGGTGCTTCCGTTCCTGCCGTCTCGGCTACATCACCCCTGCATGCAGAGACACACTTCGCCGTTCTCTGGATCAGAGTAGAAGTCTCCTCCGAGTGTTGCCCAAACAGATAGAACATTGCCCCTCTGCAGGAGACGCAGGAAGTGATTCATGGTCGCGAGATGGCCCCCGAGGTTATGTAAAGAGTTTGCCGTTCTGATCGTCGAGATCTTCAGTATAAGGCTAAGACGTTGGCACTGACCTGGGTCCTTGAAGATCAAGACTGGATCTGTGGATCTTCTGATCTTCCCCTTTATCGTTTTCGAGTCTTCGCCCGGCGGTCAGCATCAGCAGCCATGGCTGCCACGCCCGCTGTGATTCGCACTGAATCAAACGGACATATTGTGAGCGGTATTGCGATTGGCTTCGTCGCTGCTTCAGCGGCCGTTCTCTCCCTCAGACTCTATACACGACTAATGCTCCTGAGGACTGCTGGGAAAGATGACTTGAGTATCGTGGTTGCAGAGGTGAGAGCAAATCGGGCGTGGATTCTCTTCAATTACACAACACTAACCCTTTCAATAGTTGTTCGCAATAGTTGTGACAGTCGCAACTTGTCTTGGTAGGTTTCTCTCTCTGACCCTCTCCGCGGCAATGCTGACAGGTTGATGCAGAGGTCAAGTATGGTATGGGAAGGCATGTGGAGAACGTGTCTCTGGAAGAAACGCTTCAACAGCTCAAGGTAAGACAAGCTGTTGCATGAACTCCCGATCGGTACCCAGTGACTTACCACCGATCAGTTTCTGCTTGTTGCTGTCCTCCATTACAACATGGGGATGAACGTCGTTAAAGTTTCTTTTCTCTTCCAATACCGACGCGTCTTCCCTTCCAAGGGAGTTCAAAGAATCTGCCTCTGGGCGATGGTGTTTGTTGTCCTGTGGGCATGCGCTCAAGCTACGTTACTCGGCACATCGTGCCTGCCAATCTCCATCATCGTTCCCAGTACCGCCAGCTTCTGTCTCAACACGCTCCCAATTTGGTACTTTTCCTCAGCCATGAGCATGGCCACGGACATTATGATCTTCTGCATTCCTCTGCCATCCGTTCTCAAGCTGCGGCTTCCTAAGAAGCAGAAAGCCATGTTGTTTGGAGTCTTCTCTCTTGGCTTCTTGTAAGTGCTGGGCTCCCACTATGCCTGCCAGCCGATCTTTCTTCTAGTGATGTACAACTAACCTTGGTGGGTAGTGTGTGTATCATCTCCGTCTATAGAATGTTCACCCTCCGCACCGCGGTCTACAGCGAGGACCCCCCCTGGGAGAATATCGGCGCCGCGATCTGGTCCGCCATCGAACTCAACACCTCTATCATCGCCGCCTCTCTGCCGACCCTCCGGCCGTTGCTCGCGAAGTGGCTTCCAGGAGCAGGCCTGTCGTCCGCTCACAAGAGCGGGACTAGCGCCTACCCACGATACGGGAGCTCATCGGGGATCGGCCGCAGCAACTTCAAGGAGCTAAAGAGCAACAACACTCAAAGGGAGGTCAGCACCGAGGAGCTTGTGCTCAAGGATATGATAGCCAGCCAGTCGGGGGCTGTGCCTGCGGTCTACTCTCATGTGACGGCGGAGCCGAAGACAGGGCACGTGGGCCAGGAACTGCGAGGAGACTTTAGGAACCAAATAATGGTAACGAGAGAGACTACCATCAGGCAAGGTCGTTGAACGAAGTGGACTATTGCTGGAGGTCTATCAGAATCTTTCATGGCCGCATCTCAGGTCCTATCGCGTAAGATCACGGGCCTGACACAATTAGCAGTGGATTGCTTCTTTATTCATGTCCATGCGGAATTCATCCCCGCTTCCTATCGCCGGTCGTATCAGCCACTTGGCTTGCTGTTCGCCAACCAGTGTGGGCGTTGTATGACCTCTCCTCCAGCAGTCGTGGGAGTTCCGGGTGTCGGGACTAGCAATCCTCCCTGATTCTAACGAGTCCAATCACGGGCTTTGATACCGGTGCCCGGGTAGACCGGAGTGATTTGACAAGTTTCCACAGAACAATGGCCGCCATCCATAATCTGCGTAACAGTTGTGGTCCCGTCACAAATGCACGTTCCGGCGTATTTTCGTGGCCATAACGCCGCTATTTCGCTGCAGTGTCCTCCGGGCTCAAACAGCGATCTCAGGCAGTCTCTCGACAGAATATTTTCCCTTTCCAACCGCAATCAAAGGCACACCCGGGACATTCCTCAGCTTTTGTCTCAGCGCCCTATCATTCATTCCAACCAGATAGCCGCGGTTCTTCGTGACGGTGGTGACGATGCAGTCGTCGGCGTACGTGCCAGAGTGCGAGCACCTCAATCGCTCGAATCGCTCGTCCTTCGCAAGGCGCAGCGCCAGGCGAAACTTCGGTCCCAGCTTCTCAAGCTCGGCGATCGTGCATTCCGTTACGACAGGTGTGCACTTGGCGAGGAGAAGGTCCATGAGGCCCATGACGACGTCGATCTTGTGGCGAACCGTGTGCGCGAAGAAGTTGGTATTGAGAATGATGTGGTATGGGGGTCCCAGGTCTTGGTTCGATTGGAGGTAGAGTCCCGACGGGGCCTGGGGGATGTGTCGCACGAGATCGGCATCGTTCTTCTTGGTCGTCGACTTCGAATCCGCTTCGGTCGGTTTGGCAGCAAGAGCGTGGCGGCGGCCGATTAGGCGCTTGGCCTGGAGAACGTCAGACAAGATACATCTCGAGTCGCTTGGAGAGCTCCTACCTGGCCGAACTTTCTCGTCTTTTGGCGACACCCATGTTTCGCTGTTTGGTCGGATGATGGTTGGCTGCGCGGGAAGATTGATGCAGCGATGCGATGCGCTTGGGACTTTTTCTGCCACGAACTTTTAGGCGGTGAGGAATGCCGCCCTTATCGGCGCCAGTGCATAAAGTTATGCATCCCCATCGGGTCCGCACAATATGTGGGTCTGGGTCCATCTCGGCACCGAGAGAGTCCGGCGGCGGCAGTTCATCCGTTCTCGTCTCATATTCTTTCAGACCAGCTCAAGATATCGATACGTCAGATCGTCCATCGATATAAATGCAGTTTGATTTCAGTCTCCTTATGAAATCACTGTTCAATTCGAGTACTCATACATCAGCGGCGAACTATTATGAACGAATGACAAGAAAGTCATTGGCCCTCGACTAATGGTCTGACTCAGTTCTTTCCTAAAGGCAAGTCCATCACTATTCAAATGTGAACGCAACAGCAAAAGTCATGTGTGAGGCTTTCGTGAAGTCAACTGCGCTTTTGACGCAATAGCTTTTGTGACATAATTTTAGCGTCCCTGGTCGTTCCCAACCAGGGTTTCCCCTCAACGGCCAGGCCCGACACAGCGCTGAGTGGTGGACGCAAATATTTCCGCGCGCGCCACGTGCTAGTTCATGAAATCGAACCCGCTCATCCGGTTCTGCATCTCGCAATTGATCTCACCCCACAGACTTTGATTCTCCGGGAGCGGGGAAGCGGTGGGCGAATAGTAGGATTGTGAAAGAAGATTGCGAAAGAAATCCTATAATTACCAGGGAGTGCCTCACAAAGGGCATCAAGATGTTCCCTCATTTACCGTGATCTCCTGTACTGTGTTGATGTCCTCGTGATGTTCGTCTCCTTGGCAGTCCTGATTGGGCTTGCCTCCACAACAGTGCTTGCATCTCCTCTAGCGGTAGAGGCCTCTTTTGACTGGCAAAAGACTGACTACGTGTAAGTCGCGGTCGCATCACTTGAGGCCGCACTGACAAGACACACATCTAGGCTTGCATTCGGAGATTCTTACACATTTGTGCAAGGAACAGAAGGGTACTGGGGATACAGCTTCATCGGTTCTCAGCTAAACATCTCGTTCACTCCCGAACAGCTGTTATCAGATCGCATTGTTCCTGGGCAAAATACCTCATCCGCTGGAGGTCCCAATTGGATCGAAGAACTTACTGGTTGCAAGGAAGGCTTGCCACGAGACTGCGAGATTCAGTTATGGAACTTTGCATTCGCAGGCGCCGATGTGTCCACTACTTTGTGAGTTGAGCATCTGGTGATGCAGATAATCTTCTTAGACGGCTAATTCCCAGCCAGTGTTCCACTCCACCATGACTACACAATATCGTTCCAAAATCAAGTATCCCAATGGGACGAGTATGGCAAATCGGTCATCAACGCAGACACCAAAAGCTCCCTCGTAGCTTCATTCATTGGAATCAATGACATCAACGACATGGCCAACTTCCAGTTTCCTGTTCAAAATTCAACAAACTTCCAAGAGCTATACACTGCGGTCATCACAGAGCAGTTTGAAGCCCTTGAAACCGTTTATCAAGCTGGATATCGCAGCTACCTCTTCCTCAACTTACCTCCTCTGGACAAGACGGTATGGCGTTTCATCGGATCTTATGAGCCCCTTCTGACTATGGACAGCCTGCTGCACAAAGCGACCCCACTCGGAAGCCAAACACGACGATGCTAAATACTTTTAATGATGTTCTCAACCAAACCGCCAAAGCCTTCACAGAAACACACCCAAACACGACTGCCTTGGTGTTCGACACATACACCTGGCTCACCTATGTCTTCGAGAATGCGGCCACGTTCGGTATCACCAACACCACGTCGTTCTGTCCCAAGTACAATGCATGGGATATTGCGACTAACTACGCTTCGTACGGCTGTCAGCCAATCGGTGAATACTTCTGGTACAACTCGGGGCACATCACATACACTGTTTCCCAGCTGCTTGGCTCCAAAGTGGATGAGTTCTTGGCTCAAAAGAGCGGACAGTGCGGTGAGAAGCATAACACTAGTTCATCGTGGGGAACTCGATGGGTTGATGGGGTCGCAAGTTGAGTAGAAGCCTTGTACGGAGCTCTTGTAAGTGGGCGTGTTTCGTGCCGACACCCATTCCCGTCAGGTTTTGAGGTAGAGCTTTGCTAGCTGGACAGCGTCCACATCACAAGCAGTCTGTAGTCCGTATATCCTACATCTATAGTGAAGCGGCTATGTCTCCCATGCGTATTTCTATCGCTGCCATCGCTGCTGTCGTCGCTATAACCGTCGCTGTCACTTTCGTAGTCGTCTATCATCGCCGTTATTGTTTTCGCTATCCCTGCCGTTTTCCCTGTTATTCTTGTTCTCATTAAAACTTTAGGTATTTACGATTACACTGCCCGAATAGCTAACTATCACTGCCCGGCTATCTAAACCCCTAATGTAAGCCAAGTTTGCTTACCAATGACAAAGACAGCTCAATTTGCAATTTCTCGCGCGTCATTCTCATGGTCCCATTGCACATCGACTCGGCCCATTTTTCATGTCAGCCTAGGCTCCCATGAAAGACATGGGCAAAAGTGATAATAAGTTGTCCGCGTAAGTATCCCAAGCCTCCCACCCATCAGGAGTATTTTCACATTTTCCTTTCTCTGCATCCACAGCGCAGATGGCTCGGCGCCGAGACGAGCACGGAACGGACCGTGAAGTGGGGGCTCTGCAAGAGCAGCCCGAAACCGGAGCCGGCATATCGGCGAATATCCGATGAGGAGTCGCATCCATTTGACTGTCTACAGTTTCAGCATCTCACATTCTAACCGAAAATAGTGCAACATCAACGAAAAGTAACCTTCGGAAATCTCGCACTACACAACCGTCAGCAGGATGTGCATATCCAGGCTTGTCATGCTGATCTTGCCGGCTGTGCTCATGCGCCCCAGTACATGCGCAGGCATCAAATCAAATGGGGCTTTTTCATGATTCGATCGGATAACTTTCTGATTGGAGTCGAATGCCATGCTAATTCCGAGTGGTCCCATAGTCTCGGGTTCTTTGCCCAGCCCACGAGACCACAAGCCCATTACATTCACTCTTTTCCTGGATTCGCACGGCTGCATAAATGCTGAAACATGAGGTCGTTCTACCATTTGGCAGTGGAATATCCGCGCAAGACCAACCGGGAATTTCAGGCTTGACTCGATGGAAGAGAAATATCACGGTGGCTGGTGGGACGAACACCCCCCTGATTGGCGCGCATAGCCAGCAAATTCCAACACCGACCCAATGGCCACGAACATCAGCGCAAACCCAGTTCACGAAGCGGCCTGGGTAGTGGGGCGGCCACGAGTTATGCTTGCTTTTGCAAACCAACCCCATCCAATGCGAGGACGTCATCGTGCCCAAGAGCTGTGCGAATGACCGCATGCATGGTTGCTCCCCCGGCAAATGTTTGCTCCAGCAAAGCCCTCAACGCTGTGTCGCGCCAGAACAGGAGGTTCCAAGCGCATCTAGCCATCAGATACTCCACATCGCGTGGAGGAGATGCCGTGCAGATCACTTGTTTTGGCACCACATCTTGGTGCGGTACCACGTTCTGCGACCGTGGGGAAGCAGACCGCCTCCCGCTCGTCCGCCTGCCGCCGATGGCCTCGGTTCCGGGTTGAGAGTATAAAAAGGCGGCGTGATTTAGGTTGGGACAACTGCAAGCGCATAAGCTTGAGTTTGTGTGCTTTCTCTCAGCTGAGTCGTGAACCTTCAACGGCCGCCCACAGGGTATTCTCCGGGTTTTACGAACGAGCTTAATATTCCCGTTTCTGGAGAGTAGATCTTCCCCGCACCCATCCCCGAATCAAACATCTTGGGGTCCAGTTTTACCCCGGACTGTACTCCTGTTGGCCGCAACACGAGTCTGGGGACCTTGCTACGCCAGGCCATTGAAAGCAGGCCGTGACAACGCACGCAGCGACATTTCAGATAAAATTGCTTCACAGCACGAGAAGAATAGTGGTTCAACAGTCAACAATTAAGAATTTACTGGCACGATAACATTGATCATCATGGCTCTTTTCAGTCTTGGCAGAGGCAGAGGCCTCCAGACGGGCGTGACGATTTGCTGCGTAAGTCATTGGATCTCAACGGCAGAGCATCCATCTCACCGAAATAGCGCATTGATCTGACTAACTGGTGTAGCTCATTGCTTTTGTACTTTTTGGTTACGACCAAGGCGTGTTCGGAGGAATCCTCCAGATGGAAGACTGGCTTGACCAGTTCAATCACCCATCCGACTCAGAAACTGGTATCATCGTATCCTGCTACAACCTAGGCTGCTTGGCTGGCTGTGTCTGTGCGTTCTACTGAGCACCTGAGGTAGAAGGCCTACGCTGACCCATTGAGCAATAGTGAACTTCATATTTGGAGAGACACTGGGACGTCGGAAAACAATTTGGACCGCCATGGCGCTGGTCATCATTGGCGCTACGCTACAAGCATCAGCGTTCACGGTTCCACATCTTGTCATTGGAAGACTTGTGACGGGTCTAGGCACAGGCATGAAGACCTCCACAGTTCCGATGTAAGAGTCCTTACCAGGCCTTCAACTTCATTGTTTTAACTCCAAACAGGTACCAATCTGAACTCTGCGACCGCAAGTATCGGGGCCGTCTTGTTTCCGCCGAGACTCTCTTTGTGGGTGTAGGCATTGTTTTTGCTTACTGGTATTTAGCCTCTGAATTCCTGAATGAGGTCATAAATGCTGACCAGTGGCAGGTTCGATTTTGGAATGTCCTTTGTCGGCGGAGCAATTGCGTGGCGTCTCCCTCTCGCCTTCCAGATCATCTTCGCCCTCGTCGTCATCGTTCTAGTCTTTGCTCTTCCCGAGTCACCCCGTTGGCTGTTCAAGCATGGCCGCGAGCAAGAGGCCGTTCAAGTTCTCTGTGACGTCTTTGACAAAGATCCCACGGATGAGTACATCCGCGCGGAGGTGTATTCCATCCATCACGCCATTGAGTTGGAAGCCTCTGAGAAGACTCAGTCGTCCTTCATGAGCATCTTCAAGAACGATCGCGTCAAGACTGGCCAACGTGTCCTTCTTGCCTGGGGAGCGCAGTTCATGAATCAGCTTGGCGGCATCAACCTCGTGGTGTACTACATTCCCAGCGTTCTGGTACAAAATGTGGGAATGACGGCACACATGGCCCAGATCATTGGCGGATGCGTTCAAATGATGTTTATGTTTGGATCGATCTTGCCTGCTCTTACCCTGGACCGAATGGGTCGCAGAAAAACAATGATCTGGAGCAGCGCTGGGCTGGGCGTCTGCATGCTAATGATTTCGATCCTCCTGTCTCGTGTTGGGTTTTCCAACGGGCAAGCATGTGCTTCAGCTTCGGTCGCGTTCTTCTTCCTGTAGGTTCTCTGGTGCGATTTTCGAAGGTTCTACATGTTGCTGACAACTTCAAGATACAACCTCATCTTCGGCATGGGCATGAACTGTGTCCCATGGGTCGTCGTCCCCGAGATCCTTCCCCTTCACGCCAGAACCCGCGGTACCGCTGTCGGCATCAGCTCTAACTGGCTCTGGAACTTTTTCGTCGTCATGATTACACCGGTCATCATCAACCGATTGCAGTGGAAGGCGTACCTAATCTTCGTCGTGACCAACTTCGCATTCATTCCGCTCATCTACTTCTTTTATCCCGAAACTAGCAACTTCCGCCTGGAGGAGATTGACGAGTTCTTCACTCAGGGTCGCAATCCAGTCAAGGTCGCAAAGGAGATGCAAAAGGCTATGAAGAGTGGTCAGGATATCTCCGGGGCGGATGCCGAGAAGACTCTGTCTGGCTCTTCAGAGAAGGAGAAAGTACAAGTGGAGCATTCATGATCCACATGGCAAGCAGCTCGACACACTAGCCATTGATGTTATGCGAAGCAAGGTTCTCTAGTAGCTTGTTATTTCTACCAAAAACCATTGCCCAGAATGTTTCAAAACAGTAGCTTCGCCGAATGCGGGAGACTCATATTCGACGCTTATCTACAAAACTTTAAATACCAGCTTCTCATTAGAGACCTTACCTTCTTCAGAGAGCTTGAAGCCCTCAACCACAGTCTCCAAGCCGCCAAGCTCCCTCACCTTACTCGTTTTCAGGTCCCCATTGCCCAGAAGCTGAGGCAGTAGCTTCAGATACTTCTCCCACACTTTCTTATCCTCAGGTGTCTCGTCTCCACAGTTATCAAACCGGAATGGGAGAGCCCTCTCAAACACTGTGTAAACAATCGTCCACTCAATCTTCGCCCACGGGTTCACAGCTTTGATCTCTTCCTTTGCGGGCGGCATGACAGGAATGAGAGTAAGAACGTGATCTCCTTCACTCCCCTCAAGTGCCTGCGCGATCTTCAATGTTGAGCCGTGCTCTGACACAGTGTCGAAGGCGCGCTTCAGCTTCCCGCCTGTGACTCTCTTGGCTTCGTCAACCCACTCCCCATGGTAATCGATCACGGCATCCGCTCCCAGATCCTTCAAGAACTGATGATTCTTGGGCGAGGCAGTGGTGATGACTTTCAAACCGCTCAACTTTGCCAACTGAATGGCATAGTTTCCAACGCTAGTCGCGCCACCGTAAATGAGCACCCACTCTCCTCCTTTCCCTGATCCCGGCTCAGGGAGGCCAAGGCGTTGATACAGAGCTTGTACTGCTGTCCCCAGAGCAAGACCGACAGTCGCAGCGCTCTTCAGTTCCACATTGTCGGGAATTTCGAACAACAAACTCGCTTCGACGGGTATGTACTCTGCGTACCCGCCGCGGATCGGGTTCGCAGGAGTTCCATTTTGGCTAGTGCCCTGCACAAAGCCGGCGACGCGCTGACCCTTACGCCAAGCAGAGCCGTTGGGATCCTCAATTGTCCCGGCGAAGTCGGCGCCGACGATGAGACCGGCCGGGGCGGGTGGGGCGATGGGCGGAGAGCCTTTAACGGACTTCCAGTCGGTGGGGTTGAGAGCGGAGTAGTGCACTTTGACGAGGACTTCTCCGGGGCCGGGTACCGGGATTCTGGTGGATTCAACGGAGACAACACCGTCGCCTTGGGTGATAAGAGCTTTCATTGAAGACATATTGGGAGGTAATTGTCACGCTTTGCCAATGTGAATTGTAATTTTCAGTTGATAACGTTGTGGATCGATAGCTCATAATTGCTGCTTGGAACTCTGCCTCTTAAATTGTGTGAAGATTTCTGGTAGACGATTGAAATTTCTAAGCATCCTTTCGGCGCCGAAACCCTTTGAAATATGAAACTAAAGCCGCCCCTTGCAAGCCTTGAAGATCTCTAACCCGCGTTGTCGAAAGAAAGTCATGTCGCGAAGCGCGAGTCCGAGCCACCCAAACGGGTTACGTTGACAATGGTACATTATGAGGACGCAGGGACATTGGTAAGCATGGTGACGCCACACGGCTTAATAAACCACCCGCGTGCGGACCGGCGTCGGTGTGGGTGTTCCGCCGTTTGGATTGGATCTTTTGTGCGCCACGATCTAGCCCAAAGTAGACATCATGTAAGATCCCCATGGTATTCCACGGCATTTGGGATTTGATATATAACGTTATGAGCCCTTGAAAACGTTGACTGAATTTCGAGGCATACCTAGTAGTGATGGCGATATCTGTGGAGAGAAAGTCGACATTATGACCAAAGGTGCATATTTCTGGTGCAATTAGTCTAGAATAAATAGTCATCGTCAGAGTCTGTAAACAGAGACGAAGGAGGGAAATAGACGCCAACTTTTTGATGACTTCTTGATCATCAACCGTAGCAATTGAAGTGTAACTCGGACATGACGAACATCAAAAAGGTCGCCATTCTGGGGGTAAGTTTCTTCACTTATCTCTACTATGGTCGAACACGCACCAACAAACTTCGACATTCCAGGCCACGGGATCCCTTGGAGAGGTCCTTGTTCCCTCACTCATTGCCGCAGATTTCGACGTAACTTGCATCCTACGCAAGGATAGCAAGTCGCAGCCTCCAGAAGCAGTGCGGGTTGTGAAGGCAGAGTACACCGACACTGCATTGCTCACCGAAGCTTTGCAAGGCCAAGATGCAGTAGTAGAAGCGTTCAACCCTGCAGCATCCGTCCATCAAACAGCCATCCTCCAGGCTGTCCTCGCCGCCGGGGTGAGACACATTATCACACCAGACTTCAGTGGGAACACGTTCCACCCTAACGCTAAGGATGTTCTCATTTTCAACCCCAAGCTGGAGGCACAGAGGGAGCTGGAGAGGGTGGTTGCCGAGTCTCAGGGGAGATTGTCATGGACAGCGATTGTCACCGGGCCGTGGTACGACTGGACGATCAAGAAGGGGATATTCTGGATCGATCGAGAGAAAAAGATCGTGACAAGGTACGGTTCGGGAGACCAGAAGTACAGCATGAGTCGCCATGCGCTCAACGGCGAGGCTTTGGTCGCGGTGCTCAGTGACCCTGGAAGATACCAGAATCGACCGGCATATTTCGCCAGTCACACTGTCTCGACGAACCAGATTATCGGAATCATCAAGGACTTGGGTCTCGAAGGATGGAATGTTGTGGATGTTGATTTCGATGGCCTTTTTGAGAAGGCACACAAGATGTGGCAAGAGGACACGGATAATGGCGTCCAGGATAGGTTGAAGTCCAAAGCTTACGCGGCGCTATCTACAGTGGCGCTGTTGGATGAAGCGAACCGATATGGTTCGAACTTTGAGAAATTGGTAGAGGATGGCTATGATGAAGGGGACGCGAAGTTAAGAGAGAACTTGGCCAAATTACTTGGCTAGTTCCTATCGTATCATTAGCGGCAACGAATAGCGAGATTCTTTGAGCTCAAACACATTCCGAACTGAGTTCGTCTTCTGAGATTGAGATACCAAGTTGGAGGGGTCTTTTCCGCTAATCACAGGTATGTAATGAAAATTGACCTCGGGAGGCGTCTTTTCCAAGTCTTGCTGAAGTTTTAATGGCGTCGCCACGTCCCATGTAAATCCTCTGGGACAAGTGGGGTGCACGAGAACGATATGCACGCAGACGCAGAAACGTTCTAGAAGGCGTGACAAGAGGCAAATAGGACGACTATCCCAGTCGGCCTCGCCGGTAGGTTGTATGCATGCTGTGCCAGGGGTACAGTGCCAGTGCCCCTTTCGCTTGCTCGGATAGAGCGCTACTCGACTCTAGAATGAATGGTACCAGAGAGGTCTTCCTTACATGCGTCGTTCTCCTTCGGAAACCAATCACCATGGCTGAAGCACCCCCGGAGTTCTGGTACTCGGAGTTCACAAATGCACATTAGGCTTTGGCGCTGAAGCTGGAGGAAACAAGGTCAGAGCCATGAGCAATGTGACTTGGTCTGCTGAGATGGTTTTACTACCTTCATGTTGTTAAAGGCAGGTTTTGGTGCCGACATATGACACCTAGATCATGGACCAAGGCCATACAGAGAGAATAGGCCTCGTTTAGTCGTGAATAAGGATGGTTACAGTGGCCGATGTTATATATCGATCACTGGGCAGTCGAGTCAACAGGGAATGGGAGATTAAGCACAGTGGGATGTTCATAACTTGTACCACTTTCCAATGCTTAACTGACCATGTCACTGTACATAATGCATTTTACTCGTGGTGAGCCATAGAATCATGTGCGTGGATGATTGGAAAGGGGGAGGAAGTCCTGGGTCACCTTTTTGTCGACGTTCACAGGAGGAGGGCCTGGTCATGGGACAAAATGTATCAAAACAATGACAGACCCCCAATAATCACAAAGAGAATCGGCCACTCCGTCGGCGGAGTAAATCATCGAGGCAGGTTTGGCAACTTGACTGATGATCACCAACAGTGATCAGAGATGCCGTCTAGTCACTACAGGCTGGCAGTTAGTGACGGAGAGGCCGACCGGTAATGTTCGCCGATTGGCGAAGAATCGTCGATAACGATGAATGAACGGGCCCTATACCAACAAGCTGTAAGCATCAAGTTGCCTCATGACGGCAAAACTCGCCCGAAGTGTCATCAGGAAGGCAACAGAACCAATCTGCCCTGAGTGAGTCCCACCCCGTCGTTCAAAGTCAAACCATCCGAGACTTGAAGATTTTTCTAGGTTCGTCTGGGCAACTGAAGTGCAAAGTCCAAGAAAAGCACAGCCAGGCCGCTGGTAGGTCTGGGCAATCTTCAGAAGACCACGGGCTTGGATGCGAAGCGCTGATTCGCCAGGCGTGAAGGATCGAATCGGCTTGGTAATTGCTTGGGTTTCTTGGACGTCTTGGACTTTTGATCGGGTACGGTGGGTGCGTGTGCGGCGCGGTAGTGAACACCAGGGTGGCGGTACGTATGTAGGCTAGGCGTTATGTGCCTATGGTGATACGGCAGGGGGATGAAGACGGTTGTGGGCCAATCGTGTTCTGGTGTGTATCGTCCCGAATGGCATGGGCAAGCTACTACCCGAGGAATCGACAGTTCATCGGGCCGTCCTGCTACTGAATAGAAAGTGTTGTAACTGTGAATAAAGCACGGCGGAGGAGGAGTCCACTGGAGGAGGACAGCTTGATCAAGGTCGGGAGCCGGGCCTCTAGCTGTATTGGGGAAGTATTGGAGGAGGGCCCGGGTCCTCTATCGGCGGAAAGACGGATGGGGGGAGACTGTCAGGCAGTCCGCGGGGGAAAGCTGAGCAGGTGGGCAAGGTGGGAGGAAATGACATTCGATAGAGATGACGAGCGGAGCGTTCGTTGGAGGCACTCGAGGTCTTGGCCGCTTGGCGGGGGAGCGTGTTTTATAGAAATTCCAAGCATGCGTGCCTTTTGAGTTGGCTGTGAGTGGGCGACTCGCGCAACACCTCGGGAGGGACATTGGTGTCGACGAGACGAGTGGGATGGATGGTCCGGGGATCTGGACGGGACGGGGGCCACAGGGAGGGACGGGAGCCTACACGTGGGGGAATCGGGGCCCGTGATTCGGCAGCTGCGGGTCCCGCCAGGGGACGGGAGTGGGGCCGTGGCTTGCCGCACGCGCTTGGCGCTTCCTGTGAGCCCGAGTCTTGGCGCTTGGCGCGCCAAGTCGCTTGGGAGGCCCCACTGCCGTGGCCCTCGGTGGCTGTTTTGGGCAACGCGTCTCCCTTGTTTCCCGTCTGCTGCTGACGTTCTCACGACATCTCACTGATAGAATTTCACTTTCACTGTTTAGACGCCTTCAAAACGATAGATGTATGTACAACCTTGGACAGCCATTGGCCAATATGGGGGTCCCTCATCGGAGACCAGGCTCATCATGTTCTCCACCTGCTGCCATCTTCGTCGAACCAACGAGCAACTATGGCCCCGGAGATGTGGTGACAGCTGAAGATCCCGGCAGACGCACTGCAACGCTCGTCAAGTCTCCAGGCCTGTCATTCGCACGTGGAGGGTGGGCGTCAGTCGTATGCTCATCTTCCCAGATACCAGCTGCCCATTCCGTCCCAACCCATACATCCTCCAAGACAGCCCAGCCCTCAGCTCGTCGTCCCATGAATCCGTTTTCTGCCACCGAAAGAGCTCCACCATCACGCACAATGTTTTCCTGAGTTGGAATCGCTGTGTATCTGAAAGTGTTCTTGATCCTTATGCTGAGTATCAGAATACGATTCTCCCAGTGGCTCCGAGTTCGTGTGAAAAGCCTAGTCGCTAGGTTCATGTACAGTGCCCATGACGCTCATGACTACTTCTCAGTATTACTGAGTTCAGTGAAACGAAAACGAAGTCTCAATCATTCAACGTCTTTGACATTTGATGGACTATTCCGGATGGAGGAGGCACACCTAGGACACTTGCGCCAAGCATGTTCCTCCAGGGAGGCACCCGTCGTCAAATTCTGATCCAAGTTCATCGACGGGTCCGCCGCACCTGCAGATGGTGTCCATAAGTGGCGAGCCCATGTCGGCGGATTTACGGTTTGCAGAATGGGGTGTGGCATGCCCTTGTTCCACTTTGGCCGATGTTGGTCTGAAGCCTGCACCCTCCGCTGCAGCTGGGCTTTCTCCCACGCCCGAGCAGTACACGGTACACGGGTTGATACCTTGCGTGACCATGACTGCCAGGCTGCATGTCAAAGATGGTGGGCTGTCTTGTGGTGGACCTTGGTTCGCCTGCGATCGACCTGGCGGATGGTATATATCTTCTGCATCTGCCCGCCCTGTCCCCTCGCTTCCATGTCGACTTCTCGAACAGCATCAACCCTCCCGGCCTTGCCTTCCGCGCCACCCTAAGGGTCTTTGGTCTCTTTTTCCGAAACTAAGTTGCAGTAATTTGCATCAGTCTAGTACATTCTTTACGACCACATTCAAACAAGACTGGTTCCTGCGCATTTGCGCCAGCAGACAAGATGACTCTGCATCAGTATGACTACATCTTCGCCATCGGCACCATCTTCGCATTCCTTGACGCTTGGAACATTGGTACGTCAGCATCCGTCTTCGACTTGCCTCACCACCAACTGACCTAACCCCTTCATAGGTGCCAACGATGTCGCCAACTCCTGGGCCACTTCGGTCTCATCCCGATCCATCTCCTATATCCAAGCCATGTCCCTCGGTTCTGTCCTCGAATTCGCCGGCTCCGTCGGTGTCGGTGCCCGTGTAGCCGACACCATCCGCACCAAGATCGTCGACATTGACATGTTCGAAGACGACCCCGCCCTCCTCATGCTCGGCATGTGCTGCGCCGTTACTGCCTCCGCCATCTACCTCACCTTCTGCACCAAGATCGGTCTCCCCGTTTCCACCACCCACTCCATCATGGGTGGTGTCATCGGCATGGGTGTCGCCCTCATTGGCGCCGAGAACATTCACTGGGTTTCAGAAAGCGGCAGCATCGACTCTGGCGTAGTCTCCGTCTTCCTCGCCTGGATCATCGCCCCTGGTCTCGCCGGCGCCTTTGGTGCCATCATCTTCACCATCACCAAGTACGGCGTCATGCTCCGCAAAAACCCCGTCCTCAAGGGTCTCATGCTTGCCCCCGTCTACTTCGGCATCACCGCCTCGCTGCTCACCATGTTGATCGTCTGGAAGGGTGGCTCTATCAAGGTTAACTTCACCGATGCCGAGACGGCAGGCATGATCATCGGCGTTGGTGCCGCTTGGGCTCTCGTCGTCACCATCTTTCTCATCCCGTGGCTGTACCGTATCGTCCTCAAGGATGACTGGCAGCTTCGCTGGTGGCACATTCCCCAGGGCCCCCTCCTGCTCCGCCGCCCTGAGCCTCCCGTCCAGCCTGAGGGTGCTTCCGGCGGTATTCGCGACTTCTACTCCGGCCACTTGACCAAGGAAGAGCTTGATGCCGCCCGCGGTGGTGTTGTCCACACCCACAGCAACGACGTTGAGTCCGGCTCTGCCGACGGTGAGAAGAAGGTCGTCCAGGACAATACCGACGCTGAGGCCCAACCCGCTGCTCGCAACAACGACTACAAACACAAGCCCCTCGTCGGACCCCGTCCCGAAGGCGCCTTGTTCTCTGGCCCCGTGCTCTTTTGGATGCTCAAGAAGGTCTTCCTGTCTGGTGTCGACCAGGACATCATTAACATGCAGAAGAAGGAGAGCGTTCTTACCGGTGATCTGGAGGAGATGCACGCCCGCGTCCAGCACTACGACAACAAGGCCGAGTTCCTGTACTCCTTCATGCAAGTCATGACCGCCTGCACTGCCTCCTTCACCCACGGTGCCAACGACGTCGCCAACGCCATCGGTCCTTACGCCACCATCTACCAGATCTGGCACACCGGCGCGCTCTCCGGAAGCAAGTCCGAGGTCCCCATCTGGATTCTCTGCTTCGGTGGTGCTGGTATCGCCCTCGGTATCTGGACCTACGGATACAACATCATGCGCAACCTGGGTAACCGATTGACGCTCCACTCTCCCGCCCGTGGTTTCTCGATGGAGTTGGGTGCTGCTTGTACTATCATCCTGGCCACCCGTCTCAGTAAGTTTTTCTCGTCACCCAAACGAAATGAGTTTTCTAACGGTATCGGCAGAGCTCCCCGTCTCTACCACTCAGTGCATCACCGGTGCCACCGTCGGTGTTGGTCTCTGCTCCGGTACTTGGCGCTCAATCAACTGGCGCATGGTTGGATGGATTTACATGGGATGGATCATCACTCTTCCCACCGCCGGTATCATCTCCGGCTGCTTGACCGGTCTGATCATCAATGCTCCCCGCTGGGGCATGGCCAACTAATTGGCTCAATACGAGATGAAAGGCACCATTAGCAACAACTGGCTGACTGAGATCAAGGTCCGTCTCGAAGATGAGACCTGTCGTTTCTGACAACCTGTACCCAAAATTGTTTCTTGTATCTTTTCGTCTTTTCTGGACACATAGACTACTCATACCCTCATTAGTTGTCGTGAAACTTAATATAAGTCGGCCGTAGGCCTCTCAATGAAAATACTGAATGTCAGCTATGTACAAAGGTATTGACACATCCCCCGGTGAGTCGGATCATATGAAACATCCTTTGCTCATTTGTCGAATCGCCACCAATCGAAGTTGAAGAGATAGTCCGATCCATCACCAGTGAACTTGAAGAACAGATCATGGACCCCTTCCGCGCCGCTGATAGCACAGGTCACAGACGTCCACGACTGCCAGCCTCCAGACCTAGAGACATCACACGTACCAACAAGAAGACCAGAGATACTGTCAAGGTGCAACTCGATGTTCCCGCCGCCAGTGGCTGAGGCAACCTGGGCAGTGAAAGATGCCGCACCGTCCCCGAAGTCAATTCCCTTGACCTTGATGTAATCTCCATCATTGATGTATGCGACGCTCATCCCACCTTCGCCTGACGCTTCGACCTCGACTCCCTCCGACCACGCAATGAGCTCAGCCTCCTGACGGACGTAAGGATCCACGTTGACAACCTGCGCAGGTCCGTCGGTTGTCATCTTCAGCAGGGGAAACGTTCCGTCGGCGTTGTACTCAAAACTTTCCACAGCAACGGAACGTGTGAAGCCCCCGCCTCCAGGCAAAGCGCCGTTGTGGTAGAAGAAGTAGGACTTGCCGGCAAAGTCGATGATGCCCGGGTGGTTCGTGAAACTGCCGCCCTCTGTGGGCATGATCTGGCCTTGGTAGGTCCATGGCCCTGTGATAGTCGGGCCAGTCGAGTATCGAATGTCCTCGGGACAGCACACTGCCGCGAAAATCATGTAGTATAAATCGCCCCGCTTGTACACCCACGGAGCCTCCTCGAAGGTGGTAGCACGCGACGGATTGCCTTCACGAGCCCCGAAGTCTTCTGCGGTGAGATCCACTTTGGTGATTTCTCCGCTGTACGAGATCATGTCCTCGTTCAACTTGACATACAACAGATCCGGGTTGCCCCAATACATGTACGCCTGCCCGTCGTCGTCGATGTAAACCGTTGGGTCAATCTGTCCGTTGCCAAGGAGAGGGGCACCGATGGCGTCGACGTAGGGGCCTGTGACGGTGTCGCTCACGCCCACGCCGATGGACATGCTGCCGTTGATCGCGGTCGTCGGGACGTAGAAGTAGAACTTGCCGTTGCGCTCAATGGCCTGCCCGGCCCACGCATTGGCCTCAGCCCACGCGAAAGTGGCGACGTTCATGGGCGATCCGTGGTGCTGCCAGTTGACCATGTCAACAGAGGAGAATAGGAGCCATTCGCGCATGTCGAAGTTGGTGGAGTTGTCTTCATCGTGACCGGTGAAGAGGTAGACGCGATCCCCGACCACAAGAGGTGCCGGATCAGCTGTGTACTGGGTCTGTACGATGGGATTCTCGGCATGAACACGACCAATGGCGGACAGAAGGCCACTGAACAAGAGGAAAGTTTTCATGATGGCTGAAGTTTGGGTTGTCTTGTTCATTTCGGCGGTGGTGATCAGAGAGATGAAGGTCAGCGGAAAGCGGTTGAGATCGTTCGCATTGAAATATTAGATGACTGGAGAGTGTCCAGCATAATTATACTAAAATGTTTGTAGAATACAGCAAAACCTTTTTCCTAACTTCGTCGCCCGAGGCTGAGAACCCAGATGCTACCCTACGTGGGATTGCGTCGCGATGTCAAACGCTGGATCATCATTGGTGCGGGTGCATCGGATACCCGTCCCAAGTCGGGAAAGATGCAAGTCAAAGAAACAAAACGTGGAGAAATGGAGATTTCTACGCAATTTTGTTTATCTAGAAGGTGCCGATGCTCTCGTAAAGTCGCATTCACGATTTTGTACCACCAACACCTCTCTAGGTTTGCAAACCCGAGCAAGAGCGTATGTGTAGCAGAAGTGTCGACGCAACCCAGACAAAAGATATCATGGGCTCGCCGGCAATCAATCTGCCAAACCGCACTTCGCTACAGTATGTCTACGCAATCTCCATGGAGAGGTTCACTGGAATGAGTCTGCAAATTTTGCCATGTCTCGACTCAGGGTTCAAAAACCCCCAGGTGGAAATCGCTATTGCCCGTGTCAAATGAAATCACACAGACTCGACCCTGTGGAACCTGTAATAGCAGCGACTGAGAATGAATCTCGCCGCAGATTACATGGGAAAGAGCGACGGTAAGAAAAAGCATCTAGGCCAAGCAAGACCAGCCCACTTACCCCACAAAGCGATCACGTTGTCGCTATCCGCAAGCTGGGGAGAGGAGCGTATCCCGGCGCTTGCGGCTAGGTACCAACCTTCGAGCGCTGACCTTACATACCTCTACAAGTCTTGTCGGTTGTGTTCCGGTTGGTCTCAATGATCTTCGGCTTCATATGAACAAAAAATATTGACACATCTTGGCATCACCACTAGTCTCTCTGTGAAAACTGGAAAATGTCTTTCGTACAATGACAAACACCGATCTCCAGCCGAAATAGTCTATTTAACCACCAATCACAGCTATGATTCCTAAATATGGGAATACTTGTGTTCTATCATCTCTAGCTATCGTTGCTTTAGCAGTCCATCGTCAAGAGATGCGAAGTTGCCAGATCAACAGTTGCCAAGAACGACAGGCGTCAAATTGCGATTGGGGCGTTTCAAGCAGTTTACGACTTGAACATTTCCAGGAATCGTGACATGGCAAAGAGTGTTGCTTCCTTTCATGAATATATACCGGACCGCGCGCGTCGCGATTATGCCCTCGTAACCCACGCAAGCATTCTGTCAAGTTCTCTCCAGAAGATTCAACGATGCATTATTCTCGTCTTGTTGGTCTTGTAGCTGCGGCTAGCCTGACAGGAGCACTCCTGCTTCAGGTTGATCCCGACAGCCCAGGTCATGAAATTAGTCCTTTGCTTCATGGACTCATGTTCGAGGACATCAGCAACAGCGGCGACGGAGGTAAGTACTTATTCTTCACCGTTTACACGCCGAAGCTTCGGGTGGGTTGGTCAAATGTCTAACACTATAAAAAGGTCTCTATTCACAGCAGCTACGCAACAATGCCTTCCAGGGCAAGGTGACTACGCTCGATCCCTGGACTGTCCACTATGGCTCGGCGAGTATATCTCATGACGCAGACACCCCATTGACCAGCGCCATCACTTCCTCTCTGAAGATCACTGTCCCTCCTGGATCTGGTGGCTTCACTGGCGTCGCGAACCCTGGGTACCGCGGTATCATCGTCGATGGCGGCTACTATAATAGCACCTTCTGGCTTCGTGGCGACTTCCAAGGCGATGTCAAGATCCGACTCCTGGGTAATGAAACTGATGTTGAATACGGCTGGGCCATCATCCCTGTGGACTCTGGACCACAGCCGCCCCCGATGGTGACAACCTTTGGGTTTTCGAGATCTTAGCCGAGACTCTGACCAGCGGATCCATCAACCTTGGTTACCCCACTTTGTTCCCTCCCACTTTCAAGGGAAGGCAGAATGGCTTGACTGTGGATCTGTCGGAAGCCCTTGTCGATCTCAGCCCCCAGTTCCTCAGGTTCCCTGGTGGCAACAATCTGTAAGCCACCTAAATTTACTTGTCCTCTGAGCTGACTGGATTTACTAACATCTTCATAGAGAGGGAGGCGGCCCGGACGACCGATGGAAGTGGAACGAGACACTCGGTGCTCTGGAATCCAGGCCAGGTCGTTGGGGTAGGTTTTGATCCCATGCCAATGCAACGTGATACGACGAGGCTAATCGTTTCTTCCCGCTGGTACAGGTACTTGGGGATATGTCAACACTGACGGTCTTGGCCTTATGGAGTACTTCCACTGGTGCGAAGACATGTCTATGGAGCCCATCCTGGATGTTTGGGCTGGTCTTGGACTTGCAGGTCTCCCGCCATTGGTGGGAGCAGACCTGGAACCATATGTTGAGGACGCGATTCGCGAGATAGAAGTTAGTCATCTTCTGCTTTTTGAGGGTTCAGAAACTGAGGCTAACATTCACAGTTCGTCATCGGCGACATCAACACTTCTGGAGGCGCGCTCCGCGCTTCTCTTGGGCATCCGGAGCCTTACCAACTGAAATTCGTCGAGATTGGAAATGAAGACAACCTCGCCGGTGGCTGTGAGTCTTACAAGCAACGATTCGTGCAATTCTTCGACGCCATCAAGGAGGCGTACCCGCAACTCACCATCCTCACATCCACGTCCGACCGCAACTGCCTGCCTGACCCGATCCCCGAGGGCGCATGGCTCGACTTCCACGACTACAACGTCCCGGAGAACTACATCAATGCATTCGACTTTTATGACGACTGGGACCGCGCTCATCCCGTTTTCATCGGCGAGTACGCCAGGTGGGGCGTCAAGTGGTCCGACATGCGAGGTGCCTGCTCTGAGGCGGTCTACATGATGGGCTGGGAGCGCAACGCGGATGTGATCAAGTTGGCCGCCTATGCGCCCACGCTGCAAAACTACGACCCCGTCAACGGCCAATGGACTGTGAGAAATCCTTCTTCGTGGAAACCCGCACAGTCAGCTAACGTATTTTTGTCCAGCCTAACCTCATCCCATTTACCAACAAGCCTGATGGCATCGTCTACACGCCATCGTACCATGTTAAGAAGATGTTCGCCACTAATCATGGCGAAGTTGTTGTCCCCGTCAAAGCTGACGTCGAGGTCAATCCAGGTAAGCTCCCTCAACCCCCTGTTACCTGGTATTAACCTTGACCATTCCTGTAGTTTGGTGGGCTGCGAGCAAGAAGGCAGATGGACAAGTCATTGTCAAGCTTGCCAACTATGCTGCAAACTCGACTGAGATTCGCATTCAGATCCCTGGTAAGGCGAGCTTGGAGGCTTCTTTCACTTCCATCACTGCCGGCCCAGATGACGCCAACTCCGTCGAAAACCCTCATGTCATTGCTCCACCCGCTATACTCAATATCTCTGGAGATGGCGATGGAGGTTTCACTGTTGAACTGGGTCAGTTTGGTGTTGGAGTTTTGGTGGTATAGGAATGGTTCGTTATGCGAACATAAAGTTTCGGTGGAAACTGGTTGATCACTTTCAACGACGATGGGTTGAGAACAGGGACGAAGATGGTGATCCATGGATAAGATAGCGTGACCATGATGTTGGACTTCAATTCTTCTTTGGGCATCTGCAAATTAGGTGTTCCTACAGCATTTTGAGTAGATAATTACACTTAGTCCCTTTCAGTATTCTCTTCTCAATGCGAAAAATATTGAGATGGCCTGCGCCTGGTACATGTCGCCGAGAAGTTCAGTGACAGAGAATAAGCCAGGCCGCAGATGATATTAGCCACGACTAGAGCTAAATATCTTCGACGAGTGCGAACGCCTGGCCGGCTATAGGTAGTCAAAAACTACCTCCGAAGCTCATGCAGCCGAGGGCAATGAGAATTTGCTTTGTCGCCTTTGTTTTTGCTGCCACACCTGTGACATTGTTATTTTCATCGGGAGCATCTAGCGACAACATTTATATGCGGCAAGACAAGGTTGACATTTGCTGAAGGTATTAAGATTACATGTACTATCATGGTTCTAATAAACCTGGTGACTTATTCCTTGTCGAAAGGTTTTCTGGCCGCTTTCTCAATCCTGATTTCAATCGTCTTGGTGATACCGGATGGAAGAGGAGCTTCGGCGAGACCCTGCTCGTTGATGTCCTCCACAAAGATTGTTTCGCCAACATGTTCGGACGTAAACAAGGATGAACGACTTGTTCCCGACTCCCTCCGAACTGGAGACTTGCCTGTGTGGCCTCCACTCCACGTTGTCACATACGTTGCGCTTCCACGCGGTAATTGTTCGTGCTGTGTATGCCGTCTGGCGGCAAGCCGGAAAGACGAATTGTCATGAGCGCTCTGCTCAAATACGAGCCTTGAGGCCAAGATATCAATGCTAGGATATTGTCAGCTTCCACAAGTGTGGCCATACTAGCAGATTCAAGACTCACAAGATGATGACAGGAAACATGCATTCCAAAGTGTAAACAAAGCGGTCAATCTGACTCGCTACAGTCTCGGCCTTCTGGATCGAAGGCTGGAAGAAGTATGCGACAGCCCGCGTTATTCCAACCAAGGCTAGCACCGCCAGGCGAATTTCGGTGCTTCGCATTAGGTGCTGAAAGAGGGTCGGCACCATCGAAGCTCCCAAGGACAGACTCTTCGCCTCCGCGAACTTGCGCAACAGAAAGTACGCGCCAACGCACTCTAGAAGTGCCATGGAGGTGAAGTAGCCCACGTGCAGCCCATTGATGGTTGTTCTCAGCTGCGACTCGCCGTTGACCAAGATCTTCACCCGCGCAGTGAGAATAAGTATTCGCAGGATGAAAATGGCGACCATCATGAACCAGAACAGAGACATAAACACAACACGGTCCCGATTTCTTAACACCTTCGTAAGAATGGCATAGCTGTAGAACGAGATACCGGCTTCTTGGACCTATCAAGGATCAGCATCGATGAACACAATTGTTTCATTGCACAAAAAGAATGGTCCTACACTACCATCCACAACAAGTCCGCAAAAGCAGACGATATCGCCGTGTTCAGGATAGGATAATCTGCATAGAAGCTGTAGTAGCAGAGGCCGTTTGCCGTGGCGCCAGCCGCCGATACGATGATGGGAATAAGCGAGACCGGGGAGAAGGCGGTGATGCCCGCAATCATGAACCCAAAGAGCACGTTTGCCAAGCCGATTGTGCTGAGGATCGCCCAACTGGTCTCAAAGTAAACGACCGACATTCTGCCTCCTGAAGCGCCCGCATAAGTTGCATCGAAGTCAAAGCTTTACATGAACTTTAGTTTCCCCACAACTGTCTTATACAATTCGGGGCGACCGACAGCGGGCGTAAAGGGGACGAGCTGTCTCGCTCGCATGAGGATTCGCAGCCACGATTGCATTGCAGAAACTTAGACCGTTACGCAGACCTGTTCAGGAGTCTTGTCTTGCGCTCCAATAGCCCGCGCGAGAGCCCGCACCATGGATTTGTGGCTGGGGGCTAGAGTCCAGGCGCGCCAATGAGTGGCAGAGAGAAGCTCTACCGGAGTGTGGGGGAGAAACCTGGGGAAAAAACGGTCATGCCGATCGTTTCAATACAGCTGTGCCTCTTTCATGTTGTGATTAGCTTCACTATGTGATTGGATATGTCGTGGTATTACATCTGTAGTTGGGTTGCAGTGTCAACTCGTGCCGGTGGGATGGGAAATTTCCCCGCATGGTTTTTCAAGCGAGAACCCAAGACTCGCCGTAATCGTCAGAGTCTGACATCCACACGGGGATTAATATCCTCAGGAACCCAAGCTTATGCATGACAGGTCACAGGACAAGCGGTCGCAGCACCTCTAGCGGTCTAGATTGGGAACGTTGGAGACGATCTCTGCCTGGAACTGGCAACTGACAGTGGAGCTTCCCTGGGTAATGTCCAGCGGCTGGATGTACGAGCCAACTGATCAGGCGACTGATGAGGTTTTCACAGTGATAAAGCAGAGGCGTCAAGTCCCTTCAGGTAACAGACCACAGATCTGGTCAGTTTTCCGGACTTGGCTGCCTAGGAAGGAAAACCAGATCGGGCTTTAGAACACCAACGTGGCGTTGCTTGCGAACGTTCAGCTCTGTCTGCCCTCCCAATCCATATCTTCCGGCATAAGATTGCCGGGTAATATCAAAACCTGTCTTGGGTGACACTGTCACTTCATATAGGATATGATAGCATGCAAGCTGTGGCTTCTAGAAGGAGGGGAAGCTTCTGAAACCGTCCGAACTTGACCTGCATGATGCATCATGGCCACATGTTTCCCACATGGCAAGTGACGGCAGCATTGAGTGCCCGCAGATCCTTCAGTCGGTGTAAGGGCATGATCCATGTTGGGGATGATGTGCCCTAATGGATGCCTTCACATCAGCCACGCCAGTGGCTTTTCTCTTATAACAGTCTCCACGCAAGCCCAGGTTATGCTTATGAATGAGATCAAGCTATGTGTTCATCCCAAGGGTGAAACTTATTTTTAATTCCAAGCCGTTGCTATTCACAGCGTTCTTCAGTTGACGTTTTGTTCTTTGGACGTAGGCTACGATGCTGCTCTTTGCAAAGCCTATGCCTCCCAAAGTACCCAAGAGGAGAACGCGAACAGGCATGTTATCTCCATTCCATTTCAGACTTACCTTTACTTGTCGCTGACGAATTTTGATCTGTAGGCTGCGCCTCATGGTATGCCACTTTTCCGCCGCAATGGAACTCCCCGCTGACATTGTCTCAAGTAAAGACGCAAGAAAGAAGTGCTGCGAGAGACGACCGCAGTGCACACGATGCGAAGAAAGAGGTCTGGACTGTGTCTACCTCCCAGTCAAGCGTCGCCGGTCTAGAGCCGACGGGATCACTTCCCAGCCGCGTCAAAAGGCCCCGGTACTGCGCTGTGAGCCAAAGGCCGGGGCAGAGTACTCCTGGGGACAGCTTTCCGAAGAACAACCATGCGTTGAATCCTCCGAAGTGGCCCTTTCCACTTCCAGTGTGTCATCATGCGACACACCTGATTGGGGTAGTTCGTCTTGTCAGTTCGATCTTTCCGATGAACAAATGGACTCAAGGTTGTTCGAGCAGTTTGGAAGCATGGATGAACCGGGCTCCTGCTCGGACTTCACGCAGGAATTGATTACCACCTCCACAACATCTCAGCCAGGCCTCAGTTCCATGCTCGAGCTGCCTTATCCCTCGTTCTTCAATCTCACCGATGATAATCAAGATCGGAAACTGATTCATCACTTTTGCACTGTTCTATCACATCTCATAGTTTTCACGGAGGAGCCGGACAACTCATTCCAAGAGCTCATTCTCCCGCTTGCTTCCGAGAACTCCCCTGTCTTACACGCCATGTGTGCTTTTGCCAAGGGACACCTTGAGTACATGGGCGTGCAGGACTCCAAGCATTCATCCAACTTCCGCGTTCTGGCAGCGGAGGGCGTTTTCAGTCTCGTGCAACAGAATTCTCGCTACGAGGAGGTACTGGCAGCGACCATGTTGCTCGTCTATTACGAATCAGTGAGCACCATGTCCTTATTGTCGGAACTTTACTGATCGAGCACAGCTCACCCTTACTGGGTCCTCAAACATGGTACTTGAGCATCTTCGGAGTGCATTTGTTGTCCTGAGCTCCATCCCTAAGTCGGCAAAGAGCCAGAGCGTCAGGTTCCTCGAAAAGGTTGGTTTCAATACTGCAAAAACTACCGATATCATTCAAGTACTAATCGTAATCTAGGCATTTCAATTCTACGACGTCATTGCGGCCTTGTCACTCGCGGCCAGCCCAGTGTCGGCGACGCCTGACTCAGACCACGAGTATCCTCTAGGTTTGCCATCTCCGAAGTTGACTCGAACAACCTTTGGAGACCCTCTTCTAGGCATGACTGGAGATCTCTGGCCTATTTTATATCGCCTCAGCTCTCTCAAAGCCCTGAAGGGCGACTTGGAATCCGCCGTAGCCGCAGACCAGCAATCCAAGGTCTCGGTGCTGCGCACAGAGTACGAAGCAACGTCCAGAGCAATTGAAAATGCCTTGCAGGAATGGGTGCCACCCATACTACCAAAGAACATCACCACACCTTTTGAGGCCCAGGCAGGCGCACAGGATTCTCTACAGGCGATGGTGCACAACTCGCTCGCGTATCGCCATAGTGCACTGGTGTACTTGAACCGTTCTATCTACAGGTACCCAGTCAACCATCCGGCCGTCCAAACGAACTGCTATCTAGCACTCAAGAGCTGTGTAGCAGTGATCTCCTCTGGCGGGCCGGTGAATGCCCTTCTCTGGCCGCTGTTTGTGGCTGCTTGTGAGGCCATCACGGACCACGACCGTGGCCTTGCCAGATATGCCTTCATGGAAATTGAGAGGAGGCAAGGCATGATAAACATTGAGAGAGCTCGCGCTATCGTACTTCATCAATGGGCTTCAGTGAGTATAGACAATGTGAATGACACTTGTGGTGGGCGGGTAGACACTTGGAGGGAAATCGCAGGAGGGATGGGGTTCACCATCATATTCGGCTAAAAGCGCATCAGCTATCCTAGACCTATCTTACTAAATAATATTTAATCGTATTCATCAAGAATGACCGGTAGATCATTCTCGTCGTACTTGTCATTGGGTACAACCCCCGGTACAGACCACTACAGTTTCTTCGACGATCCACCTAGGCGGGTGTCAACCGGCTAGACGATCGGCAGATCACGCGCAGCAGATGCTAGAAAGGCTGGAGTCAGATTGATAAGTAATCATGGCTCTTGATGGTTCAAATGCGCTGCCTGGTGTGTTGTGCGCTGAGCTATTGTGTCTCAGGAGGACGTCATGTTGTTTGCCCTTCTGAGTCAACCTTCGCTGCTTGGGCATTTGACTCTCATTCACAAATGATCCACATCGTGAATTGACCAATCATATCATGATCCTCAAGTAGCTGCATTCAGCAAAAGCTGTCCTAGCAAGCAGAGCCTATTATTGCGATAGGAATGGGACGTCTACTACCATGTCTCGCCGATATCTGGAGGAAGCTGTCATGTTATCGTAAGGTGGTTCACGTAATACAAGATTTCGGTTGCTGCAGATTTCATCAGCGCTGGCCAGCATCATTCACCTATAGAGGGAGAGTCTCGTAACAATTGAAGTACCTTCGGAGCAGCGGGCTCTCATCCACGACTGTTCAATCTTGGAACGAAGGTTTGGGTGTTCAATAACAATGTGAAATTTGAACAAGACATCAACAAGCCACATACAGGTACTAGTCAACCCTTGGAAATGAGGCTGTCGGTCAGTGTCCACGGTGGGACAAAGGTTCTGAAATCTAGCTAACATGTATGAACAGGGGTCTGGGATACGGTTGGCAGCCTCGGCTGGCCCAAGATGCCTTGGGAGAAGATTCGCACCGATGGAAGCGCCGATGAAGTAAGCAATCTTCCATAATATTTTATCGGGCATCTGAGTTAACAGTACCTATTTAGCTTCGATTCGCCAGTCTGGATGTTCACCCGAACGTCGAGCACGCGTTCCACGCCCTAGCCCTCGATGAATGGCGCACTGCCTTTTCCCCCTTTCTTTGGGGCAAGAGGGGCAACAGCACGACCCATCTTCGCCAGGTATGGTTTCCGGGAAGCCACAGTAACGTCGGCGGGGGTTTTGAGGATCAACAGATCGCGACCATTGCGCTTGCATGTATGTCTTTCTTCGACTTCCCTTGACGAAGCATGAAGCAAGTGACTAACACGCATTTTCCGTAGGGATGGCGGATCAATTCGCCTCAGTCGGAGTTGAGTTTTCCACCCCAGAAATGAAGCGAATTTTCTACACTCTCGATCCATCTGTCGAAGCCCGAGAATGGGGCAAGGGTCGGATCTCTAGTCCTTCGGCGACGACTGCTATTCCCGATAAAGCTTACAACGCGCTCTGGTACCCTTGGCAGACGGTAACGGGTGGGAATACTGTGGCTGGCACGCGCACACCGGGGTCCTACATGGAGGATGGCAGGAAAGACGTCATCCAGGAACCGAACGAACTCACCCACCCATCCGTGCGCATTCGCTATCTCTATGATGGTCTTGGATTGGACGACAATGGCGACTGGGAATGTTCTGCACTGACCAAGAATGGGTACAAATTGCAGAAGAGCAGCGTCCCTCTCCAAGTCGAAGACCCTCACCACAAGCACTTCATTGCGTCGACGTACGAGGCGCTCAGTGGGACTGTCGCATCAGTTCACGGAGGATTGCCGATCGACCCCAGTACCGATCATAAACTGGTCCTCCACCAGCTTCCTTTTGAGTCTGATCTCTACCAATTGGAGGAAGCGAAGAACAACTGGGTATGGGAGAAGGACGGCAAGGTTCTGCCAGAAGAGCGCATTGGAATGTGGGAGAGGCTATTCATTGAAGTCAACCACAACCTCCTTTACAGACAAAAGGAGACACAGAGACTGAAGGAAGAGCGGGAAGCAGCTGAGCCCAAGAGCAATGGCTGGTTTTCTGGCATCCAGTCTTGGGCCGAGGATAAGGCCAACACTGCACGCAGCGCTGCCGGTAGTGCTCTCACCAACACCGTGGGCAGACTGCTCCCTAGCTCCGGGAAGCTCAAGCCCGCGGACTATCACCCGGACTTTGGGTATCACGATTTAGTCTCTTGGCAGAGAGGAGATGCAATACAAACTAGCAGAAAGATTCGAGCCTAGAGCTATTGAATGGAAGATCTGCTCTTCGGGGTTACATCTCTAGCTATGTAATTAGGCCGAACCCTGCATGGCTATTATCACCATTCTCTATCCGTGTTATGAATTTTATTTCTTTTAATGTCTTATATGTTATTCCTCGTCCATGCCCAATACCGTCTTTATTGCCCCTGTCCTCGCCCTCATTGGTGTCCTCATCGTTGTCCTCATCGTTGTCCTCCCTATTGCCGTCCTCGGCGTCGTCTCTGACGTGGTTGGTAAGATCACACTACTCGGCCAAAGGCCAAAGCTATTATTGAGATGAATTGAAAATAATGCGCAGTGGTGTAAATAATTGAACATTTGTCATCTGAAGATTACACGCCCCCGGAACTGCCGTTAATACCAAATAAAAAAGAAGTGACCCCGAAGTCTGACTATATACAAATTCAGTTTGCTATGCACTTTTTCGCCACGTCTAAGATCCCGACTCAGTTCTCTCCATTGTTGATCCGAACTAAAGTGCTTCTCGCGGCAACAAAGCTGCCCAGTGATCTGATGGTCGAGTCGCCGACCATGTCGAATACGGCGACCTCAGCGCCCATCTCCTTCGACAGCCAAGTCCTCAACTCCACCGCTACCAGTAAATCAACTCCATACGCGTGCAGGGGCTGCGATGAATGACTAGTGGCAGCGTCAATGCCCAGTCAAAGCAGTCCAAATACTACAGCAGCTTCAAGGATAAGGAGACTGATGGGCTGATTGCGAACGCCCGTGTACACTTCGAAAAGCTTGCTAGTAAGGGCGACATAGTTATTGAGGACGAAGGAGACACTTGCGCTATGGACCTAGTCCTTCGGCGTGAGGCGATGGCATTCACCAAGACTGGACAGCGCTCCCCAACATCCTGTGACACGGCAATGCGCGGTGAACTTGCGATGTTGCTGGTGGCGGTAAGTGACACAACGTACCTCTCAAATTCAATCCCATGCTGAACAGTCGAATCAGGGTCACGAAACAACCGCCATCACACTTGGTTGGGGCCTCAAAACACTGGCTCACAACCAAGTGGAGCAATCAAAGCTGAGAAGGAGCCTTGAAGATGCCTTCTCATCTGTGCCTCCAGGATCTACGCCATCTGCCTCTGACATTCTATCCACCTCAATTCCCTATCTTGATGGCGCATTGGAATAAATTCTACGTTTCGCCAACACTATGCCTCTAGTAGCTCGTTCTGCCACAGTCAACACTACCATTTTGGTTTATCACGTGCCGAAAGGATCCCACATCATGTGTAATGCTCAGTTCATGAACGAGCCCCTAGATGCACCAGATGCTGCCTGCAGCGAGTCCAGTCGGGCAGCTTGGGAACGCCGCAAAGGACATGCTTTTTCTATAACGGATATAAAGCGTTTCATTCCACAAAGATGGCTCAAGAAAGACGAAAATGGGGTGGAGGAATTTGACTCTGCAGCATTGACGAGAATGCATTTCTCTCTGGGGCCGCGAGGCTGCTTTGGTGCGTCCAAGAAACATGCATTCTTTCAGATATCACCTGCTGGTTACTACTTCCAGGTAGAAAACTACCGATGCAACAATTACGCATATTTCTCGTTCTTCTTGTGTGGAACTTTGAGTTTCTCCCTGTTCCTGATGTGCTGAACAGCCCATGGGGCCATCGGAGTATCTTACGCCCTCCTCAACAATGCTATGTCCGACTTCGGAGAGTTTGATGCAGTTTTCACATAGTATATGCAGTAGCCATGGCTTTGAGACCCAGTGAGAAGGATATTTGTGTCGCCTCTCGGTTGTTCCTAAGCATCCATGGATAGTTATTGGTGTTCGAATTCAAGTAACTTTAAGTAGTGGGGATAAGGTTCTCGGGAAAGGTGACAATGATGATAATGATAAGGATGACAACGACGACGACGACGACGATGATGATAACAACAACGACAACGACGATGGCAGAGACACAAAACTTAGACTTCCAATAGAACTGAAGTTATTGAGAAATAATTTCAACCCGAATTTGCTTGAATACAGGCTCATGGGAATGGATCATACTCTGCCAACCCCTGACACACTCCATCTAACTCGACCCCATCGATGCGCTGGACCGCCTTCTCGCCTGCTCCAAAACGAAGTACAAACCCTCCATTCGTCTCGTTGACAACCTGCGGCTCCCAACCAAATTTCTTCTGCGGTCCATGATACGGATCCTCAGCAAACGCCATGACATAATCCTGCATCGCCCTGCTAACTTCAACCTGGAAATCCGTCGTTGGTGCTATGTGATCCAACAGGTTGTACGTCCCAAACAACACTGGCGTCTCGCTATTGTGGTATGCACCCAGCCAACTGTATACATTCAAATTGGGAAACTCGGCAGCATACTGAAACCTGAAGACGGGGGCTTCGGACGCGCTCAAACGGTTGCGAGCGGCAGTGGCATTGAAAGCTGAGCACACCCACGCGACGTCCATGGCCGTGACAGGCGGCTGCCAAGGACCTTCAGTCAGGTTATCCTTTGGCCATGGGGTGAGTGATGAGAACTCGTTGGCCGTCATGGAAATCAGGGACGGGCGGCGAGCGATTTTTCCCGCCGCAGCGCGCTCATCGTAGTCACGGAAGATGATGCGATCATCTGGGATCAAGCCGAAGGATAGAGCTGGTGTTTCACCTCGATCGCCGTACTGTCCGATGAAGTTCATGATCTGCGGGAAAGATACGCGGCGCATGCAGTCGAGTTCCGCCATGCCATCGGGGTCCTCGCAGTTGGGGCCGCAAGAAGACTCGCAGCCCACATGCTCTGCGACGAAGGTGAAATTGGAGTACGTTGGGTCTTCCAAGAGACCTGAAGAAAAGGATCCGGTCATGACTCCCGACTCCATATAGTAGGATTGAGCAATCGGATCATCGTGGTAAGCGTAGGCGTGGATGTCCGCGCTGATGGAACCCGCCGATCGGCCCCAGTTCATGATGCGGGTCGGGTCGCCGCCGAATGCCGCAATATTGCTTTCCACCCATTCTAGAGCGGATCTTTGGTCGAGAATTCCGAGATTTTGCTCCCCTTCGACCACCCCACGCGCGTTAGGGAAGCCAAAGATGCTGACGCGGTAGTTTATTGTGACGATGATTGCTGACTGTGACCGCTCGACCCAGGACGTAGGGATCTGCCAGGGAAGTTCAATGCCACCCATCACGAAGCCGCCACCTGTCATAAAAAAGAGGACTGGGAACCCCTCTTTAGGTGGCGGGCTCGTGGGTGCCCAGATCGCGAGGTAAAGGCAGTCTTCGGACGTTGCTTCGCCCACCAGACCCGACGTATCGTTCTGGCCTCCATTGTAAATCAAATTGCCCTTTGTTAGAGGCAGGTTCCACATAGATTCGATTGCCGTCACGAATTGTGGGCATGAAGGCGGGAACTTCGTTGCATATTGGTGTTTGGTCGATGGCTGAAGCTTCTCAGGGGGTAGCCATCGCCGCGACCCGACAGGAGGTTCTGCGAAAGGAATAGATCGCCACTGGCGAACATTGGGAGAATCCGTGTCAATCAGTCCTGTGAAGATCCCGGTGGAGGTCTGCACCCTAAGAATGCCAGAGTACGATAAATTGCGGGCTGCTGAGCGAACGCCAGTCGCCAGTGCTAGGAGCGAGAATATGGTAAGCTTCATGATGAAGAAGCACAATGTGCTGCGTCCACAAAATCTAGAGCAGAGCGCTTCGACTGTAAATACATCATCTTCTTATCGGCTTATGTCTTGGCTTCCCCGCGCAGCCCCATTAAACGTGTCTCTTTCTAGAAGGTGGCATTACAATATTATGCGGTCAGCATTCCTTTGAAGACGGAAAACGAAGTCTTGGAGGCGGAACGCATGATATCAGCGCTCCGCGATAGCAAGTCAGAAAACTCTACTCGTCCCATTGGCTCATGCATTCTCTGCCTTTCGCATGGTAAGCACGCTCTATAACTATTTTGCGAGGTTCGACATGAGCCTGCATATAATTATGTCACATGTACGATCATCAAGCATTCCTCTGCTCCTCTGATGACCCTCTCCCGGCTAGCTCATACGAGTCAATAGAGCTTCCTTAGGTTCCTTTGGAGGTCGCGCCTTTGACGGTGACTGGGTTGCGACTACACAAAAACAGTGCTGCTAACAGAGCTAATCCACTGAAGCCCGTGAGTATCTGGAATTGTCGCTTGTACCCGGTCGCAAACGCGAGTCGCACTGCAGCGGCTCGCTCCGGGTCCAAATCGTTGATCGATGACATGGATTCGGCGATTTGACCGAGCTCGTCAGGTTTGATAAGTCCTGCAAGCCCCTCCCTCAAGTCGGTTGAAAGCACTGCAGAGTTTTGGGTCAGGTCAGCAAACTTGCTTCTAAGAAACTTCTTGGGTGGGCAAAGCTTACCAGATTGCTAGTGCAATGGTCCCGCCTAGAACTCGAATCTGAGTCAGAGCTCCCATCACTATTCCAGCGTTCTCTTTGCTGACAATAAGCTGCCCTAGAGTCAGGACTGTGCTGAGTGTCAAGCCGAAGCCAACTCCCATGACGGTCTCGAAGCCATACTGCGAGGCAGAAATGTGGTCGCCAGTGAGCGGAATACTGATTGAAAGACCGACTCCGATAAGCTGGATGGCATACCCAATGAGGATGAGGTATGCGGGGGGTACGTTGTAGTTTGATGTCAACACCCCAGAGATTGCTGTGGCAAATGGCGAGGTGAGCAACAGTGGAAGGACAGATAAACTTGACTGTACTGGGTTAACGCCATAGACGGCTTGGGCCCTTTGTGGAATGATGAAGAGAATGGTGACGAAGGGGAAGCCGATGAAGAAAGTCGTGCTTGTTGCGGTCAGCTTCACAGGCACGCATCGATGAGGAATTGACTCACAACATCATACTAGGTGGCCAATTGGCGATCCTTCAGAAGACCCATTATGAAGATGGGTTCCTGACGTAGATTCTTCTTCCACTCTAGGCGAATCTCCCAGACTATGAAAACAATCCATAGAATGCCTGAAAAGATGAAGGTAGATGATAAGGCCGAGCTATCCCAAGCGTAACGTGTACCGCCTGACTCGAGAGCGAAGACTAGAAGCACAGAAGCACCCAGTAGGGAACCAGCTCCGACCTTTTGACTTCCAGTTGAGATTTGGCCCAGAGGCTTCCCATTTCCCATGAATACTGTGGACGCGTAGAAAAGAACTCTTTGTCGACGGGCCAATTGTAATATAACGGCAAATATGCGTATTCTTTGCCTTCATGGAATGGGAACAAGCAGCAAGGTTCGCTTCGCTACTCGTGGGTATTAACATCCGCAACACGCAATCCGCTGATAATACACAGATCTTCCAGGTTCAGACTGGTGGGCTTTATACTCACAATCCACGCAAACGCTCACTAACACAGTTCGCAGCCGCGATACGCAGTGCTTTGTCAAAGAGCTTCTCTGCAACGTTCGATTTTGTGGAGGGGGCCCTAGAATGGCCAGCTGTTCTAGGTATGAAATTCTGATAGACACATTCATGGCTCGAAGCTAATGGGCGTAGGTATCGACCTCCTCGCCGGACTCAGTGCTGAGTACTTCGCATACCACGATACCGATAAATACGACACCAAAACTCAAGCGATGGATGATCTCGAGGAATATGTAAAGTCTGAAGGCCCATTCGACGGCGTGTTGGCATTCTCTCAAGGCGCGGCTCTTGCTGCCATGCTGATTGCAAGGAACACATTCCCTGCCCCATTCGCGTTCGCAGTGTTCATTTGCGGTGGTCCTCCTTTCTCGAAGAAGGAAATTAAGGAGACAAACACTCTCAGATCCTGTGAGAATTATATCGACAAAGCAGGCAAGCCTGTACTCGGAATATCAACGGTGCATTTAGTTGGGGCTCAAGACAAGGACCTAGAAACCTGTATGAAGCTGGTGCAGATGTCTCGTGAGGAGACCAGGCAGTATTGGAAGCATCTTGCGAGGCACGAGATTCCAACCGCTCCAAGGGATGTGACGGACAAGCTGGTTGAAACGATTGAGAGAAAAGTTGAGAGGCCTATGAAAGCCCAGTGAGAAGAGCTTTGTAACGTCATGAAATTTTTGCAATTGACGCACTTTACTATCTGAGTTTTGCATCTGGGCGGAGATTCCCAGCTATCTGGGCGGGCAGTAAGTATCAACGATAACAGGGATAATAACGAAGACGACAGTAACGGTGATAGGAATGGGGACGACAGGGACGACCGGGACGACAGGAATAGCAAGGACCATAAGGATGATACAGGTAATATACTGTTAATGGTTAAAGGTATTAGACCTAGTATAATAGTTATCCGCCCGGATAGCAAGACTCTACTATCTCAATAGCATCCATGATCAAGTCCATTTGCGTACCGGTTGATCTGATGTCCTCAATAAGCTGGCCGACGAAGGTTGTGCTGGGTGGTCGCCAAGATCAAAATACGCGAGGGATGAAGTCTAGCTTACCCCGAAGATAGTCCGACATGCTTGGAACAGACAAAATGTGTCCTTAACGAACCACGCTCCCTTACACGTGGTCGCAATCGCAGTCACATATGTCAAAATTCTATCTTGTCAACCTCCCACTAACATTCATCGCCGAAATTTTCACGCATTTCAAAATGGGGTCAACGACGGAGTTCACACTAAGATGGGGCATCATGGCCACCGGTCACATCGCAGCAAGTAAGTTTCTCAGAAATCCGAGCTGGATGTGGTACCCATTGATTGACAATTCCAGATTTCGTGCGAGATCTCCTCACTGATCCAGCTACTCGCGACGTACATGATGTTCGTCATCAGGTACTCGCTGTCGCATCTTCCAACTCGAAGCAGAAGGCGGCCGATTTCGCCAGCAAGGTGCAGGTCCCGAGCAATGCCACGGTCAAGACATACGGCTCCTATCGCGAGCTTGTGACGGATGAGAATGTAGACATCATTTATGTAGCTTCCCCTGTCAGCCACCATTTCCAGAACGCCATGCTGGCACTTGAGGCCGGAAAGCACGTTCTTTGTGAGAAGACGTTCACTGTCAATGCTGCTCAGGCCAGGAAGCTGGTGAACACAGCGCGTGAGAAGAGGCTGTTCCTCATGGAAGCAGTTTGGACGCGGTTTTTCCCTCTGAGCACCAAAGTGCGGGAACTGGTAGCGGGTGGAGCTATCGGAACTGTTTATCGAGTCATTGGTGAGTTCTGCCGCACCGTATTGTGTCTCAAGCGCCTAATCGGAGCCTCACAGCCGACAACTCGATTCATCGAAACCTCCCAGATGGGAAGCTGGACTTCAATGACTCAGACCGTATGGTTAACCCTGGCCTGGCTGGCGGTGCCATGTTCGATCTTGGCGTCTACTCGCTCACTTGGATCATGCAAATCCTCTACCACCTTCAACCACGCGAGGAGAAGGAATCACCAGCGCCGATTGCGGCTGCTGTTAGCAAGTATCACACAGGCATCGACGAGGCAGCCAGCTTCATTATTCAGTTCCCGAAGAACAACACTATGGGGATAGGCATGACAACTCTCCGATTGGGATCAGGTGTCGACTTTGGCTTCACAGGCGGCCCAGCCATCAAGATTCAGGGATCAGATGGCGAGATCCAAATTTGCGGCCCGGCTTTCCGTCCTCACAGCTACAAGGTGATCAAGACGGATGGAGGTGGCAAAGTTGAGACCATTGAGTGCCCATTCCCACAGGATAGCGGGCGCGGCGGTTGGGGCCGGGGGCTGTACTGGGAGGCAGACGAGTGTGCTAGATGCCTGCGGGATGGTGAGCTGGAGAGCCCTATCCTGCCTTTGGAGGAGACCATCATCACCATGGAAATTATCGAGGCGGTGTTGAAGCAAGGCATGATGGAGTATCCGGATGTCATCACGACTGACGTGTATGATCCTGAGAGCCCACTCAACAACGGGCGCTAAGTACGTCAATTTGCAGGCAGCTACATGAAATATTGTAAGAGCTGTAAATTAGATATTCAGCCGCAACAGTAGTTTTCGGTACCCAGTGGCAAGTCTTAGCTTTGTGAAGACTTCTAGGTCGTCTGAGTGTGCTGCGATGTTCCTGCACGTCTTCCAATGAGGCGGAAGCTCGTAAGACTCGATGGGGCAATGATTGATCCATCGATAATCGAAGCGGGGTTCCAACGGATTAGATCCGGATCACGCAGAAGTAATTCTGCATCAGAGACGCAGTGGACCTATTTTCCGGGACCAGGGAACCAGAACCCCCTGGGATGATGGGGGGTGTAGTCTGAGAGCGACCTCTCGGGGCGTTGTTAGAGCACGGCAATAGTCTTGAAAGAAATGTCCGTGTGAAGCAAGAAAAAGCCACCCCTTCCTTAGATGCTTAGTGCATCGTCAGATCTTCCACATCTTAGATGAATATCGTGCCACCTCTCACAGTCTCACTGGAATCTAGGCACCCGCGAGATGGTTTGAAGCCTGGGAAATCCACGACACCAAGATATTACTCTGGGACACAATCTCGTGATATCCGTGTCCATTGGCTAGCCCTATGATTTGCAGGGGCGTCACTCACCCATCCCTGTCTAGTGTGACCCGTTTGGGATAAAATCTCGCGACGCTAATTCTCGTGGCGCGGGGGTCAACTCATTGGACGGGAGCAGTGCCGGATATGCGGGCGTCTCCGCAGCTTGGCGGAGAAAGCTGTCTCCTTCGCCAAGTTTCAACAGTGTTGTCTCGGAGCTGCACGGCGGTGGCTAGGCACAGCAAGTTGTTGCCAGCCACAATGCTTGATAACGCCATATGCAACTAGTCAGGGTTGATTGAAACATCAATCAACCTTCCGCGCCTTGTTTCTCTCCCTGATCTACCCCACACCAGCCATCCTATGGCGTTCTCAGCCGACTCACGAAGGAGCCCTCCGTTGTCGTACGGGAGACGTCTCTCGGTGATGTGTCAGCGGATGGTGGGTTGTAATCTGCCATGGCGAGACGATCGCCTCATCCTTCTCTTACATCAACTTAGCTCAACGGATCGAACAGGGATACCATTCCGCAGAGCCTAAGCCAGAACTCCTTTTCCCAGCTGTCCAGCCGAACGGCGAGCTAATGATTCGTCGAATGCATGTCTTGTACTCGTTGACCAATCAATAAAATTCTGTCAGATCCTGAGGGATGTAGTCGGCCCACGACGTTAGACAACCTCACCGACGTTGTACACACGGCGTCTCGGCAGGTCCATCCCGCCCACACTCACTGCTGTCCAGGTTGGTGACAACACTACAGCCAGGCTAAACATGAGTTGCATTCCTCACACTGTCATTCGCCTAGTTCCAGGCTCAGTGCTTAGCAGCTTGAATACATGGGATGAACGACAAGCTCCTCAGCCGCAACGCCGCTTCCGCGTGTAAACCCCCGCACCCGCTAGCAAATACAAAGGCCACAGGGGTGTGGGCGGGAGCTTTTGATTTAATTCTAGCTAGGAACGAAAGGCGCCGACTTCTATACGAGGGGCCATTGGCGGAGGGTGTGAAGTTTACACGAGAGTGAGCCAAGTCATTTTGAAGGATTGGGACTTCCTCGGCAGGATCACCAGCATGCTCATCCAACAAGCCCGTTCGGCGAGATAAGTGACCTTGTCAACGTCACCCATACTGCCAGGCAGTTGGCCCAGCTTCTATCTTTGGGTTACTCCTGATCACATCAGTTCCTATAGAATGAATCACGCCAAGGCAGCCGCATCAATAGACGCAAGTCGGATCAAGGTAGAAGAATAATCTCGAATGCTAGCTTGGTAGGATCCTACTCATCTGTAGTTTCTGAGAAACATCGACAACTCTTAGTACATGAATGTTCCTGACATTTGGTTCATCGAAACCTCCGTGGACTGGAAGAGGCCATCCTGTTGAATGATTTTCCCCTATTGAACGTCATTTTCAGACCTTCTTTTTGCTCCCCCACCTCTATCGAATTGTCTTTTCCAGTTTGCATCGCAGCACGATACCTTCATCCCATGACGATGGCGCTATCAAAGGACAATTCGCCCCTTCTCCCTGCGCGGAAAGTACTAGTCGTTGTTACAGCTGGTGGTTCAACAAACTCGGGTACGCCTAATGGTTACCTCATATTTTCAAGGTTAATATGTTTCGTCTTCACAGCTCCCATGTTCGAAGTTTGCAAATATCTCCATGAACGAGGACACACCATCGAGTTTGCCACTTTTGCTGGCCGTGAGGGCTATACCAACCCTTATCCGTTTATTTCCGATGTTCATGTAGTAGGACGCGCCATCACGCCGGAGGAAGAAGATAAACTCTACATCCTCTTGAGCGAGTGGAGCTGGAGTGGCAATGGCCTTCGAAATTGGATAGAGGGCAAGAAGTTCTTCGACGCCTTTTGGTCCGAGACCTACGAAAGGCTAAAACTTGTCATCGAGACCACACGGTCAGACTTCCTCTTTGCGGATTTCCACGTCGACGCGGCTCGGGACATGCAGAGAGAGTACAATCTGCCTCTAGCGACGATGTGGCCCCAGTGGTCATACTTCATGTGCCCTGTACCCTACATCCCTGGCCGCGTAGGTCCCGAGCCCCGGGTTCAGACCAGCGAGCATGCGAGCATGTGGGACCGCTTCAACCAAGACATACACTTGCTGAAACACCCAATTGCGTTCGCTGGTCTCTTCCTGACGACAAAGAGGATGCGCGCAAAGAAGGGGCTGGGTATGCTTCCTATGCTATCTAAGCCGGATCACTTAGTGTTGGTGAACTCCTTCGTTGGCCTTGAGACGCCTAAAGAGACGCCACCTTTGCTACATGCTATCGGACCAATTTTGTCAGGGATACACTCCGTTGGATGCAGAGCTTTCCGAGTTCTACCAGACTCACGACAAGACCATGTTCGTCACATTTGGCAAGCACGTAATTCTCTCTCGCGAAAGATTGCATTAAAAGCAGGCATCATCTCTACTCTGCAGGCAGGCCACGTAGATGGTGTTGTATGGGCTATACGTGGCGCCAGCAAGGCAGCCTTTGCAGCTCTGACTGAAGGTGTGATTCACGCAAAATCACATGGCAGGCAAATCACTCTCAGTAGCACTGAGCTCCTCGAGAACAAGCATCCGCATCTCAAATTCGTCGACTTTGCCCCTCAACGAGCAGTACTTGCGCACCCCTCTACTCGGCTCTTCTTCAGCCATGTTGGACCCTCGTCAGCGAACGAGAGTCTTTGGCACGGAGTTCCCATACTGCGGATATGAGGATGAGTGCCCTTCGCGCAAGCAACCTAGATCTATGGCTGGTTGGGGCGGCAATTATTGGCGTCTTCACAACAGGCATTGTCACCGTGGGACCACAAGCGGTCTCGAGTTTACATCATTTGGCGCGTGATCTTCTGGGGAAATTCTGGTAGCGTCTTTATTGATCACTAAGCTCATTAACATCTCGAACTGGGATGCGCCGCAGCTATGAGCTAAATCTTCTTGTTCAAATCCCCAGCCAAAGGGCAATCATGCGTCGAGAATCGACGGAAACCAAGTGAACACGATGCATTCTGAACTGTGATACGAACAAACTTTGAAGATGGGTCAAAACCTGAGAGAAGAAGTTGAACGAGACTATATCCGGTCGCACGTGAGACCTCATCGACAAGTCTGCATGTGATGCCCGTAACGGATCGCTGGAGGAAGCCGCGTATTTCTCATCAGTGTTGGTTCTCCTATTAATACGCCAAATGGCGCTGGCACTGCCTGGTCCGAGGCACCAAGGATTGTCCTCGAAGAGCATATAAGCCAACCCAGGTCCCCGCCGAACCGGGGAGAAGTCACAGTAGTTCATTGTCGCCACACTAAAATCGAAGTCCTCATGTCAGCTGACGCTTGACCAGAACTGAGCCGTCCACACTGGCCTCCTTGAACCAACCTACTGTTGCGGAGTCATTTTTCGTCATTACCGATCAATGGAACCAACTTCTATCCCCAATCTTTTGCCGTTCCATTTACCCCGACAATATGGTTTGAAACCATTCAGCTTCGGAATCATTGGTGGCGGTTGGTATGGCTGTCACATTGCAACCTCCCTTCACGCCCTCGGATTCAGGGTAAAGTTGTTTGAGCAGCACGATCGTCTCTTACACGAGGCTTCAGGCAACAACCAGTTTCGCCTCCACATGGGCTTCCATTATCTCAGACATAGCGAAACGCGAATCCAATCTCGAGACGGCTTCTTGCGCTTCATCGAGCGATACCCGGATCTTAGCCGCAGCGTTCCGAACAACATCTATGCGGTCCCCACCCATGACTCACTTCTCGACTATGGCACATATCGAACCATCATGGCTTCGAGCGGCGTCCACTTTACAGAGTCCTTGCCGAGTAGTGTTGAGCTCATCAATGTCTCCGGGGTTATGTGCACCTCTGAGCGTGTGCTTCTTCTTACTAAGGCTCGCGTCTACTTTGAGGCGGAGTTGAAAGACGTCCTTGAACTGGGACATCGCATACGTCGAGTTGATGATACAAAAGACGCTGTATATATCGACGACGAGTGCTTCGACTTCGCTGTCGATGCCACCTGGGGCCACTACAGCAAACCCGATATCCCTGTTGTCTATGAGCCTACATTATTACTCTACTACGAAGGTCCGCCGGATTTTCCAGCGCTAACATTGGTTGACGGGCCGCTATGCTCAGTCTATCCCACCGAAGCTCCTGGACTTTTCACTTTATCCAGTGTTCCGCATACGCCTCTAGGCCAATTCGCGACGGCGGAAGAAGCGCACGCTGTTCGCGATGGTATATGCAGTGAGGTCATCACGGAGAAACGATTTCTCATGGAAGAGCAAATTCAGAAATACCTCCCGTCATTCTCCCAGCTTTTCCGATACGTCGGCCCACAACTTGCCATCAAGACCAAGGCTGTCGGGGCGCATGACGATCGGACATGTACAGTTTCACGACATGGCCGCATGTTTTCAGTAATGTCGGGTAAGATCGATACAGTCTTCTTCGCAGCCGAGCGGATTCTATCGTTGATAGAAGTAGCTGAAGCCTCATCTGTTAAGGACACGTTGTCTTCTTTGAGAGAAGACATTGTGACGGTTAACACAACAACCCATTTGAATGACACAGGGAGGAGGTTCAGAGGCGACGAGGTATTTGGGCACAGCCAGCTGTGAGGCCTGGGGGGTTTCTTATGTGGATGTTTGCTTCATAGTCTGATGCTTCATTTCCGTTAATACTTACGAGTCTATATTTGCCAGGCTGAAGCAAGTACCATTGGGTTCTCATGATCCATTCATTCTTGCGCCTACGTTTTGTGATTTCAATCGCATTCAAGAAAGACATCTATCATACCTCCTATATCCAAATGTGTTCGTTTAATAGCTCGCTAAGATCAATTACTAGTGGTCCTTTAGACTCCGTAATCTAACAGGTATGTTCTGGACGTCAAAGTCTAACATGAATAAGGGCTGGCCTACTATTAATACCGCAAGAGAACGTCACTGCGGACTTTTATATCCTCCTTCATACGTAGGATTTCCTGTATGTTATATATTCATTAGTGAAAGAGGCGTCCAGCGATAATTGATACACTGAGTATGTACATGAAGTTACCTTCGTCTTTATAGCAAGACACCAAACATAAATTTCAGTACCGTCCTGAAGCACAGCAACTGTCGTTATGGCCATCCTGATGCGTTGTTCAATGCTTTCGTCAAATCATCACTTGTACATACTTCTATTTATCTCAAGACACGCTTGAGAATATGATCATTGGCGTTCAATAGCGATCAACGTCTCAAGTGAGATTAGAGGTACCGAAAAACCAAGACAATTTCCTTGTGATCGTTGTCAGATCGTCATGATTTACAACTGAATCTGATCTTTTGGTGACCATGCGTTCGGCTCGATGTCTCCATTGTCTGCAAGACAATACCAGAATGGGAAAGAGGGAGTCGCTCGTCTTCAAAATTGTTACATAAACCGCTCCAACACATGTGTATAGTACCCTTGTTCAGATTACCAGGTACTTATGTCTTAGTTTCCCGAGGGAGCAGAGTCGTACTTATGAAGCGGACTGTTGCGCCATGTCTTAAGCGTCATCGTTAACATCCACACTCCAGTGAGATTACATCCGACTTCCTCTTACGACGATTACCGGTCACACTCATAATGTCGAGCCACAGTCAATGCAAAATTAGTATACTGTGAGTAACTGATCGCCGTAATATGGTAGGTAGTGATCATTGTTTTGTCTCAGAGATGTATGCTCACCAATCCAACGTACGAAGAGCGGCTCTTGGGGCCCATTTGCAAATAAAGTATAAAAGCTGCCATCGAGAGCAGCGTTCAATATTCTGCCGCGAATGTCACTCAGCCTTCTGATTAGTCTAGATCCCGAACACACACGCTCGATATTACAAAGCCATTCACAATGTAGCTGATCCAGTCTTCTGGTCACTTTCGCCGCTTTTTCTGCGGCATTTACCATTCCCGAAGCTACTTCTGATGGCGTACTCTAACGACACAGGCCATGAGATTCGTGTCATGTCACCTGACTTGTCACTTCTGAAGAATCTCTCCCATTCCGACAATGAGAACACAAAGTCCGCCATCCCCAGTTCCAGGATTACACGCCTCCAACGGAGAGGCACCACTTGGTGTAAGTGTACGCGGAAAATGAACCCTCGTAATTGCGACAGCGCTGTCGCAGATGTCAAATCTCAGATGAATGCTCAGGGAGGGTATGCCCACATAACGCATGGCAGATTCTTGTACTCTCCAAAGGAGGTGATGTCACATTCGTCTGCAATCATATTTGGGATGCGGACACGGGGATCAACGTGAACGACTGGGGAGAAGAGCTGGCGCAGATGACTTCAGCTTGTGGACTGTATAGCGCAGGCACGTTGCAATATATCGCTGACATCGACGTGGGATACATGATCTACGAGCCGGGTGTGGAATTTTGCCAGGATGCACGCACTTCACCGGTCAGTTTGTATTAGGAATCTTGGTGAACGAACTACAACTCTGATTAGTAGTTGAGGGTAAAGCGATAAGATGAATTGCGACGGGAGAAGTTGAGACGAAATGGAAAGGAAAGTGGGGACATTGACAATAAGCTTGCATTTCTACTATTTATTTCTACATAACGCTTGATGGACACACTTCCTCAACTTGTACTGCATCCAATATACTTTAGTGTTCTTTGGAACTTCATGAACGTCTTGCACTTCATGGGTCCAGGTTCGCTTGGGTAATGGCTAGCGCCTGCTTTTTGCGCTCTGGCCTTTGGTACTGACCCGGATGAGGTGCTTAAAGCTATATTTCATTTAAGGATGGGAAGTGAAGTAGCTTAGGATGTTGGATGGCAATATGCAAGGAATCCTTCAGGGCAGGTCGAGAATGACCAGCCAGCGGTGATAAAATCATAATTTGTTATTGTATAGCTTGACACACAGCTCGTAAGACTAATTGTTGATCTCCTGCACTAAGAATCCCCATCGATTGACATACCCAGTATCTACCCCCTCAAAGATCTTGGGCTTGAAAGCCATACTGCAAATATCCTCCTCTACTTGGACTATGACCTATTCTGAGCCAACTCGATCCACCTCTAAAGTAAGGCCCCAAATCGTTTCAAGGTTCTGGTTTTTTGTTGGTGGGTATTCGCAGAATTGATCCTCGCAGGCTTCTGGCATGGCGAAAAACCGACAACCGTTTCCATGAAAAACAATCTGAGCCTTCTCAAGATGTTCATGTGCTGATGGTGATCGTTTTCGGCGTAGTTGACGATCCACAAGCTAGAACCTTGTACCTTGTGTCCAGCTTCTCTGACTGACCGTCACCAGTTGGTCGTAAGTATTGTATTGCTCGTAAGTTTTGGGTCCATCAGGGAAATGCGCTAGGCAGTCTTCATCATTAAGCACAGCTGCTTTCCACTGTCGCTGATAGTCCTGAAGCTCTATGACATTCCATGAAGGATCGAATTCCAGGGCTACGTGGGACAATTCTCCAAAGCAAGTAGCGTCCACTGCAGCGAATGGCATCGAAACGTAAATGTATGCATGGTTGAATGGGTGGTCGTAGGGTTGTATGAAAATGAGGTGCTATGCCGGGAGGACGGTTACAAACCGGTTGGTGTGCATGTCGTTCACTATGAATGTCGCTGACGTATCAAAATGTTTGGGATTCCTTCAGAACACAATGTCCCAACGAAGGCGTGGCTTTTCCTTCAGCTGCTATAAGACGTCGGACCATTCTTCTAGCCTATAACGGCGGTACATTGCCGCGCGAGATTCTTTGCAGGCAGTCCACAACCCGCTGTCGATTGCATATGTAGATTCGCTGTTGTTCCACGATAGCTGCGCTTTGTCGTTAGTGGGCATAGCAGGACCTAAGAGAAACCTCTGCTGTGGAAGTAGTCGGTTGCTAATATGATGCTGAAATTTTTCGGGGGGTTGATGGAGTGGCAAGATTGGGAAATACTGAACCCCGCGAATGCCAGTTGGTCTAGTTGCAAGGTCCCAGATCTTAGTCTGCAGCTCTGGCGTAAGGTCGCGAAAACGAGTGAATGTGTCAGCGGGAACTGTGGACGATTGCTGGAAATTGATAGAGGTGTAAATAGGTAGATGAGGTTGGGGTAGGTATGAATGCCGTGCAGCTGGTGAAATAATTTGAGCACGGAGGATGAGGAGGGTGACCTATTTTCAAACTACTAGGTAAGGTAGTCACCTCAACACCTGTCTGGTGGCAATTTAAGCCAAGGTGCCTGAGAAACTTTACCTTAATAGTGTTGGCAGTACTCCGTATGTCAGAGCGACGCTGATCTATGGAGCGGATTGTCTAAAGTTCCGGATAACTCCCCTAGCCCTACCAGCCTCTAGGTCTCATGGATCGAGTCCTGTTTGGGATGGACGAAGCTCTAAAATTGAAACTTGATTTTGGAGTAGTTATAATGCTCTGAGCCTACACCAAGTTTGAAATAGCGTCACTTTGAAAAGTCCAGTTAAAATGCTCCCACTTGAAGGTGAACGACAGTTGAGGTAGATGCGCTTCTTCTCCTCGGGAAACACCTGGCTGACTACCTCCGCTTACTTTGGCATACCTGTACAGCCTTGCGTATCTTGCCTCAAGCCCTCTATGGATGCGAATGCACCGTATTCTAGCGTGATTTTCAAATGTGTAATGCTGGAAATCTCGTTCGGCGGTGGGAAGGAAGGCAGGGGAGACCCGCTTTACGTACTTTACCTTACCTTCCCCCAGGAGCCTCTGGGGAAGGCACCTCACTCTTTTCTCCATCAACATCACCAGCTTCACCACAACTTGAAACGCTTGCTTGACATTTTTCATTTGCAGTACCGTTGTTTAAAGTGTTTAGCTTGAAGTTGTAAGGTAAGAGCTCGATTCCTCACGGTTCATGCTCGACAAAAAGCCACGCCTTCGATCAGTGTCGATGGCGTCTCGCTCGATTTCGTTGCATCCTTCCCTGACGTTTACTGCGATGCATCTATTGGGGATGTTTTCTCTCAACTTTCATTCTGTGGCCGAATTATTCGATTTGGCCTTCTGAGTCCTTTTTCTTCTCCTCGCCTCTCCTCTCTCCAACCGAATCTGCGTTCACCAATTGTTCTCGTTGCCAATGAAGTCAACTCACATTAGCAAGCCCCAGGGAGCTTAGAACAAAGCGCTTTTTTGTTTTGCTTTCATCAGATGAAGAAAATTTCATGTTGAGGGTTGGTGTAGTTCCCGCCTGAGAAAGCTCTTGCATCGCTTTTACCAGCCACTCATCCCGACGCTGATGATATGTGGGCGTCTCCGCAGCAGGGACATTCCATGAAGATTCGAACTCCCGGCCGACTGCTATCCTTGTATACGAGTTGTGACATCTCTATGCTCTAGAGCCTTCCAGCATGCATCCCACCAGTGATGAGGATCTCACCGCTTGTCATGTAGGAGCTTGCATCAGACAGCAAGAAGACGGTCGCGCCCTTCAGATCCGAACGTTTGCCTATTCTCTTCATCGGAGGCTCTGTATTGAAGATCTCACCCAGCCTAGGGTGCTTATTGACTAGGCTGGTGGTCAAACTCGTAGAGATATACCTTGGGGTGAAGAAGAATCAGTTACACATCCATGAATGTCAAGCATTCTTGTCTGATGGCGACTTACCCAGGCGACAAGCAGTTGACTCGTATGCGATATTCGGCGAGCTCGACGCCGAGTTGCTTCGTCAGAGACAAAACGGCTCCCTTGCTCATGCAGTAGTCGCTGGTGTACTGGCCCCGGCTTGCCTGATGGACCGATACTGAAGCGATCGTCACAATGGACCCAGCGCCGGCGCCAGGCCTTCGTAAGGGTTGTCTCACCATCTGCTCCGTTGCCAGGCGAATCGCGTAATAAGTGCCCAGAGAGTTGATTTCCAAGCACCGCTTGACGCTCGCCGGGTCTCGCTGCAGCATTGGCTCGTCTGAGACGACACCTGCGGCCGTGATCTTGTTTTGGGCACCGTCAGTCAGGCTTTGCCGTATATCTGTACCGATGCTAAGTGGTGCAATTACTCACAAGCCATCAATACGCCCAAAGTCCCGGGCAATGGAATCAAACGTCAATTTCAAGCGTTGGAAATCCGTTACATCCGACCTGCGAAATATCAGATCAGTCATGGATATTTTCGAGCTAAATCGTCAAATAAGAAAGATCCCTACCGGTAAAACTCTGTCTGTTTGGTGGAGGCTCGAAGGTCCTTGAATGCCACATCGGGCTCTGCGGCCGCATCAACGATGGCAATTGATGCTCCAGCTTCAGCAGCAGCGAAGCCGAGGGCTAGGCCGATACCCTGGGCGCCTCCTGTGATTACTATCACTCTCTTCTTCAGGGACAAAAGATCAAAGACGTTGGCCATCTGATAATCGTCGACCAGTTGGACCGGGGTTTTTGCAAATGCCATTTTTTGGTCTGTCAGGGATTTCAAACAATTGCACAGGACTGTTTGTGTGTTGTCGTATGAAATGAATGCCTTCGTTGCAATGACGCGTCAAAACCAACATATCTGCGGCAGTGGGTATCTGGTTGATATCAAGTTTAGGATGTAGTCGTTGGACAACCCCACAAACCTTGCTCGCACTCCGGGAGAGTAAGGAGCCCCGCTTATGGCATTTGGTAGTGAGGTGGTTCTTTGGGAAGTCTTCTGTACGTCGGGTGGCATTCAGCCTGTTGCCGTCGGCTATCTGACGAAAAGCCCGGCGAACGAACCATTTTGCGATCGTAACTAGGCATCCTAGATTATTCGCGATGCTGCTGAAAGGTTTAACGGCATCAGTCTCTATAGGGTCATGGCTCCCGATTTCTTTGCCTATTATTTCGTCCCGATTAAGCTAAGAGACGCATAAAAGAGAACGCGTGCAGGCGAACACAATTGGCTCAAATGTAATGGTCTCCGTTTTTATTTCCAATATCCACAACAAGTGTTGTAAAAGAGGATTATTTGCATCGAACTAATAGACCTCCATTTGAGACTAACTCCACACGCCCCCGTCATATCGGCTATGGGCCATAGCCGTCAAGTCACATCGCTTGACGAGGATCACGTCACATTCATTTGACTTAGTCAGAACCATGATAGATTTCTTACCGATTAAAAGAATAAAAGGCCATGCTGAGCTTTTTCGATACTTACGCCATGCCATACTGCCAGCATCGCCCTAGTCCTCTAACGCACTGTCCAACTCAGACCTGACGCCATGGCACCAAAGTTCTTTATCACCGGCGCTACAGGCTACATCGGCGGTGACGCTCTATTTCACCTTGCACAGCAACACCCTGACCTCGACTTCGCACTGTTGGTGAGGTCCGAAGACAAGGCCAAACAAGTGCAATCGAAATACCCGAATGCCCGGATTGTTTTGGGGAACTTGGATGATGCGGATATTATCCGCCGCGAGTCCGCGTTAGCGGATGTAGTTCTTCGTAAGGTGTCCGGACACAACAATCTCTTGATCCGACAATAACAGATGTGAAAATTAGATACTGCCGATTCTTCAGACCACGAAGGTAGCGCAAAGGCAATTGCACTCGGTCTCGCCGAGGGACACTCACCCTCTAGACCTGGTTACTGGCTTCACGTCGGCGGTAGTGGTATTCTGACCTACTTCGATTCAGAGGTGAAGAAGACGTTTGGCGAGCCTGACGATAAGGTGTTCAACGATTTCGATGGTGTTGATGAGCTTGTTAATCTCCCTGACGCTGCATTCCACCGCAACGTCGATAAAATCGTTCTAGAAACGGGTAAACGGTACCCCGAAAGTGTTAAGACAGCAATCATTTGCCCTCCAACCATTTACGGGAAAGGAAAGGGTCCGGTCTCGGGGCGCGGACGGCAGGTCTACGAGTTGACATCATTCATTATCAAGGAACAATATTGTCCGCGGATTGGGAGAGGTCTCGCCCGTTGGAACCATATCCATGTCCACGACTTAAGCAGCTGCATCTGTCTGCTGGCGAAGGCTGCACTTGATCCCGCCCGCAGCCCTGACAATGACTTGCAGATCTGGGGTTCACAAGGATACTTTCTGACAGAAAACGGTGAGCACACCTGGGGTGACTTGGCTGTTCGAATCGGACGCGAGGTGTGCAAGCAGGGACTTGTAGACAAGGATCTGGAAACTAGAGAATGGTCGATGGATGAGGCCATCAAATCTCCCGCAGGATTCGAGGCTGCAAGCTGGGGACTGAACTCTCAAGCCAAGGCACTTCGGGCGAGGAAGGTTCTGGGGTGGCAGCCGGCGGAACGTGGCTTAGAAGATGAAATTCCGACCATCGTCCAGTCTGAGGCAGTCAGGCTGGGTTGATCGGTGATGGAGACATAGAAATTCAAAGGATCATTTCGAATCGGTCCAAAGACAGCTTACTGGAAAGACAAAGCTTGCAACTTTATCGTGAGAGGTAAACCTTTGTGCGTTCAATACACCTAATGAAATTTGGAGATTTGCATAATCACTCGTATAGGCCGCAATTCTTGCAAAGGCCAGAGACTTTTTTATCATTCTAGGCGATTTTTGGTTTCTGCGCTCAGGGGTCGACATTATCGGTATCGCCGGCACTGCACGTTCTTCTTCAACCCAGAAGGGTAATCCTGCCAATGAATACTAACGGTACCCAAGTCGTCATGAAAGTTATGTATCTAAACCCCATCATTGACGGGAGATTACCTGCTAATACATGTTGAAAAGAAAACATCAAGCCGGCAAGGAAAACTTCCAGTTTTCTTTTGTGGGCGTACTGATGATTATCCATCTATGGTGATCTGGACGAACGCGGGTAGCGAGCATGCGACAACCCGCCTTTTAATCGAAGTTTGTGGCTTAAAATGCCGTATCACCGCCACATGGAATTCAAGATATTGGTTTTAACCATACAGCCGTGCTTGAGCTTTCTTAACTGTGAATGGCATGGTTAAGTTTAGAAATCGAACATCACACCAACTTAGCTAGATTGTGGGGTCCGCCTTATATGACCAATGATAGTGATGTTCAACTTTGATTTATCGTACTTATCCGGAGTTATTATTTATTTCGAGATTCGGTACTACTGCCCCAGTACCTGGTTGAACTAGATCGAATAAGTTCCCCAGCACGGGATAGTCATACCAATATTCATGAGGTCGAGGGGACATTAGGTTTTCGTTAAAGGCGGATTCTTCATGGCCGTTCAATGCGAAGACATTTGCTGGCAGAGTGTCACGAGATTGCGCTGGCTTCTCCTTCTGTGCTGAACCTACATGTAGGGAGACATTGGATTGCAGAGTAGAAATCTCGGTGAGAATACGCTGAACCCAGGGACTCGAATCCCAAGATTCATATGTCTCATGAAGTACCATCTGACAATTAGTCAAACCAGCCATGCCCAGTTGACCCTCCATCGGTTGCGTGCTCTTCGACAACTTGTAGAAAACAACCGCAGCAGTAAAGATGCCGTGTAAGAGCTCGTGCGGGGCTGAGAGAATCTCGTCCCGCGTAACAACGCCGCACGCGATGGCAGCTATTTGCTGCGCTGCAAAACTAGCAACCTGTTCGGACGATGGCTCTCTCGGTGCCTGCTCTGGATCAATCGTGCAGTTGAGATGAGCGAGTATCATGTGGTGGTTGTATGTGACAGCAAGACAAGCGCTGAGAACGTTGGGTGGACGAGACGACGTATCAGACCATGCCAGTTCAATGGGCAATTTCGATCTCCATTCCGTAAGCATGTAGTGAAGCACCATAGGAACCAGAGATGGTTCTCGACGAGCAGAGAAACGTGCCATTATGATGTTCCTCAGGATGAGAGACAGCTTGGACATCTCAATCTGGTAAAATGCGGAAGTGGACGGCGTTCCTTGCTCAAAGTCGTGAATTGTGAGCTGGTCGACGTCGCAATGGTCCATGTTTATCCTGAAAGGACGCCCGACAAGTGTCGCGCAGGCAGTGTCTCGCACGACGAGAACCCACCATAGGCGTTTCAACAAACTACGATCCTGCGGCTTGACGTTTGTGCTGGCCATTGTACGATGACAGCCCAATGTCTCGGCAATTGCGACGCCAGTGCCCACCCAAGAGTGGAAATTCCAGTACGTATTCGGGCTGCCACCCCAGAACGTCAGGAGAATGGTGACTTGAAGCACCACAATCTTGCTATTTTCGTAGCTGAAGTCGAACAGGGCTTTGGCTTTAGAGTAGAATGAACTCCTAGCGGTTTGCCGAGACTCAAACCCAAATTTGTGGATCAACCGGGCTGGGCAGAACGTCGCCGCGACGAGGCAGACGGACTGGAGGAGGACCCACGGAATTTTCTTCGTTCGATACTGCTCCATGAACTCGACTCGGTTGACAATCGGATACAGCGGGTAGACACGGGTGATGAAAACCTCGATAAGAGCGTCAAGCACCGCATGAGGCGGCGTTTCGAACGCTCCTTTCGAAGAAAGATAGAGAACATCTTCTGACCGCATATGTGGCGGGTGCTTGCTTTGCGGACCAGCATCTGATTGCTCGTTGTCCACAGCTGCACAGGAGAGGCCCCGATGATGAGCTTGTCGCCAACCACTAGAGCCCGCCGAGTCCTTGAAGATAAGGGCTAGTGGAAAGGACTCGCCTACGTACGTGATGGATCCTTTGTCAACTACTTCTCGACCCTTGTTGCCGTCTTCAGGAAGTTGTGAAGACATGGCTGACCAACTGATCTCGTGGTAGGTTGGTGCTCCGTTATTCTCAGTATCTCCTGGGGACACGCCGCCTGTAGTAGACGGAGATCTTCTCGGAGAGGATCCGCTGTCAATGAAACATGGAAAGAGGGTTGGGTCAATTGCCAAAGACTGGTCAACGGGCAAATCATGAGTTGTTGTTTCGGTCGTCTCTTGCTGATCGCAGCGCTGATCGCGCTCACGTGAATCGTTTTCCATGGTTATGTCGGCCCCGAGCACTGAGTTACCAGTGACGACAGGCGTAGTGATGCCGGCAACACCATCATTATCTCGATGTGAGCTCATCGTGTGTTCTTCTGGTAAAACGTCCAATCGAGGCCGGTTGCTGCCTTCTGCCTGTGCCTGGCGTCTGGCTTCGGCCAACTTCCTTGCATACGTGCCGCGTCGTGACTTGATCAGCTTGCACTCGAGCTCGCCCTTCTCAACACATCTAGTACATGGGGTCCCTTTGTCACTGGCGTCATACTTGACGCGCTTCTCATTACACTTTTGACATGCTCGAGCAGCCCTGTGGCGGGCAACAGACCGGGGCCGGACGCGTCCCGGTTGGGAATGAGGGCGAGATGCTGACTCGTTCGCGCAACCCATTCGATCTATAATCATTTCCTTCTACCTATTAACATGCTGTGGAGAACATCGGTTTTTCGAAGAACTTACCTCTCTGTAAGGCTTTGGAGGTAAGCTTATGAGAACTGGATATGGTTGGGCTGTGACTGATGTCTGTTGATGGAAACTTTTCATCTTGGATACGGCTAACGAATAGTGGATTAGACCAGGCCTATTGCCGATTGTCTCGGAAACTGACTTCCGACGCCAAGATCTGCCCCGGCTTCCCCGGCCTGGACATCGGAATTATGTACCGAGTCCGCTGATCTCCGCAGGCTCACTCTCTTTCAAGGGTTTTCAATTGATGTCAAAATTTAGTAATTGGTAGATGTTGAAAGACGGGATATTCACATACATCACACACCAGTGCAATCACGGACCCGAGAATTAGAAACCATACGGCCGCTACATGAATGACTGGTCGGCTTTTGAGACTTACTATCATTGTGTCTTGAAATGAGATTCTTTTGCTGTGCAAGAAAGTAGAAGTCCTTACAAGCAGGAGCAGCCTGCATCACTCAATGAAGTATGCAGCGGCAAAAAGGAGAGGTAGAGCACTCGTTGTGTCCGAGCAATGAGAGAGTAGTACTATGGGATGAACTCTTCATAACCCCTCTTCAAGGTCTATTCGTCTTGATCAACTCAAGGTGGTTCACCGTCCCGGCTTCATCTTTTTCAACGCGAGGGCTGCCCGGCAGGTGAATCTCCGTTCTTGCCAGCCTGATTGCTTCCTTCCAAGACATGTTCTTGCCTCGAACGTGTTTGATCTCGAACAAACGATCAACCTGCTCCAGAGACAGATTGGCAGTTTCCACATACCAGTACCAGATGATAGGCATAAACACAAAATTGAAAATTCCAAAAAGCAGATAGTATCTCCATCCAATGCTGTCAATAGCAGTTGGCGTAGCAACCACGACAATATAAACCCCAGTCCAGTTTACCGCCGTAGCAATCGAGGTGCCCGTGTTTTGCATCCTCTGCGAGTTGATCTCGGTGGGGTACATGAACGGTATTGAAAGCAGTGACCAGCCGTAGAAGACATAGTACAAGAAAATGAAGACCACTGCCAAAATAGACATACTCTTATTGGAGTTATTGGGCTTGCTGTAGCAAAGCCCGACTGCTATGATTGTGAAGCAAATGCCGCTGCACGTCGCACCCATAAGCATTAATCGCTTGCGGCCAACACGGTCAATCAATATGGCAGCCATCCCGCCCTAGAACATTAGAGACATGGAGTCGACGGCTGAGAGAATTAAAGCTATGCGCTGCGACATACTAAAAGATCGGATAAGAACAATCTGCAAGAGAATGCTTCTGTTAGCCCCTTGTCTTTCTATAAGCAGATACAGCACGCATAACGATTATCAAGCGACTATATTCAAACGATATATATACGCTAAATAATAGGGGACGTTGATAAAAACTATATATATTCATATTAAGGAGACTTTAGACTTATTAGAAGATAATAGGTAATAATATTTACCCTACTTAGTTACTAGAATACTAGCATGCTTACTCTTAGGAGAATATAGTATAAAGTCTATTATAGTCTATTTATACTTCTACCTTATAGTTAACTAATAGAATAAGATAGTATACTTCTTTTATTATAGTTATAATATCTTAAGGTTTAGCCTATAAAGGTATAATAATAGTTTATACCTTATTAATATAGTTCTTTATAACTAGCTAAAGTAGTAACTTTAAAGCTATTTATAAAGGTATTTAGGGGCTATAAGCTATAGTTAGGTTAAACTAATAGAAGAAGTACTTAAAAGGTAGGTATAATATTACTATACTACTTTTATTTACTTCTTCTAAGTTCCTTCTTTTTTAGTTTTTAATAAGTACTTATTAAGTCTTTATTATAGAGGGTTCTATACCTTAGACCTATAAACCTTCCTATCTATTTAGTCTCTACTAATTAAACTATTCCTAAATCCTCTAATTAGGTATTTAGTCCCTTATAATTATCCCCCTTCTAAATATAGTAATCCCTACTATATATTTAAGTACTATAACTAACTTCTTATTAAAGTTCTTTTTCTTATTTAGGTAATATTTATTAAACTTAATATTATTATCTTTATTATTTAATAAGGTACTTATTTATTATATATTTATTAAAAAATAATAAAGTTTTTAGAATTATAATTATAATAACTAAAATATAGTTCTATTTATTAAAACTTTTCTTTTTTTAAATTTCTTTATATTCCTTATTTAAAGATATTCTAAAGGAATTCTATTATTTCTTTAAAAAAAAGTAATTATTCTTAAATTATAAGTTTTATTCTTAGTATTTTACTCTTTATTTAGTAAGTTTTTTCTTATATAATATCCTTCTAATAACTTTATTTTTTATTTTATTATCCCCCTTCTTAATAAGCTAATTATAAAGTTATTAAATAGATTAAATAGTACTTATTACTATTAATTTACTACTCTTATTTCTTTATATATAGTATTTATTATAGTAAATAATTACTATCCTTTATTATCTAAAGTTATAGCTAC